GTATACTTTTTTTTTCCTGTGCGGAAATCCCCTCGGATACCACCTACCGGTGGTTATGTCGGACTCGAACCGACCAAAAACCGCACGCCGTCTCGGGTACCATTTGCCGGGGAACCAGGTGTACCCTAGGAAGGAAAACCCTGATACCCTGATGTACCTTGGGCCATCTACGGCGTGTAAATGACCCTCTCCTATGTTGGAATCCATATGTGCCCTTTGTGCTCCCGAAGGGGCGCGCGCGCTTCGAAGCGCGTCTCGCCTCCACCCCGGCCTGCTTCTGCTAGGGTGACAGATGGCCTCACCTACCACCCCCGGGCCTGCGCTTGTGGAGGACGGAGATCATTCTGCGACCTCCGGCGCCTGAATCGTCTACGGTGCCTGGCCCGTTGCCGGGCCTGGTGCTCCGGGAGAGTTCTAAACCTCTCCCGGTCTCGCTCCGCCATCTCGCCATAACTTGCTCGCAGAAGGAGACGGCGGAGTTCAACGAACTCTCGCTCCGTACCATGGCGACAATCATGTTACCGAGCGAGAGAATTCCCACTCCGATGGCCGCCACGAGGCCACGCCTCTGCTCCACCCACGCCGGGCATTCTGTCAGCGTATGGAGCGCTCTATCAACGGTCCGGCCATCGCATTGGTGGCACTCAGGCGTTCGCTCCTTGCGGATCAGACACAGGTGATCTCCGAGGGATCCTTTCCCGGTGGTCACCTGCGTCAACCGGTATGAGAGGCCGTGATGCCTCTCGAGCCAATCCTCCATAACGGGTCTTACCGCCGCGATAACGGCGTGCCCAAATAAATGTATACTTAAAAATTGGTATCGTATTTGAGAACGTACTCATACACGTATACATTTGGGCAGACCATGAATTTTTCAAATACTAGGCATGCCTATGATGAATGCAGTGCCATGCAGTGATGAGGCCCCATGTCTGCGGACTGTCGAACGCTGCTATTTAGAATTCCAGCGTGGACATATTAGTGTTTGTGACAAATCTCGCGAAGGACGCCCAAAATCCGCCTTCACTGAAGATAACATCATTGCTGTGATACAACCAATTCTCGAAGATCGTCATGTGATGTATCGAGAGATAGAGGCTCTATTAGGCATTTCAGGGACAACTATTCAGAAGATCTTGCATGAAGCGCTTGGTGTAAGGAAGCTAGTTTGGCGTTGCATACCGCATCTGCTTTCCGACGATCACAAGGCGGCCCGCGTCAGATGGTGTAAGAAAACTCTGCAAAGGCACAACCGAGGAGAGTCAAATCACGTCTACGACATCATCAGTGGTGACGAATCTTGGATCTATGCCTACGATCCTGATTCCAAACAACAGTCTACAATCTGGGTCTTTCTTTCAAGACGAGCCAAAGCCGACTAAAGTTGTTCGTTCTCGAAGGACTTCAAAGAAGATGGTGGCCACGTTCGTTGAAAAAAACCGGCCATGTTGCGACTATTGAAATTGAAGATCGTAGATCGTAGCAGAGTGGTATACCACAGTTTGTTTACCACAAGTCATCGCCGAACTTCGAAAATCTAACTCAAAGCGACACATCATCCTGCACCACGAGAACGCAAGCTCACACAGCGCTCGTCAAACGATTGAGTATTTAAAGCAGGAAAAAGTAGAAATTCTTGACCATTCTCCATACAGTCCTGTCCTAAGCCCTAACTATTTCTTTACATTTCCTAAAATTAAGAAAAGTCTTCGTGGTCAAAGGTTCCAGTCCGGTGAAGAAGCAGTCGACGCTTTCAAGTCAGCCATTTTGAACACCCCCACTTTAAAGTGGAATAAATGTTATAATAACTGGTTTAAGCGAATGGAACAGTGTACTAAGCTACGTGGTGAATACTTTGAAAAACAATAAGAAGTACTATAAGGTTGTAGTTGTTTTTTTTCTTCAAACGACAAAACTTAAAAGGCATGCCTCGTACTTGCAAGCTGTCTTACAATGATAATTTTGTTTGTTTAACTTAACTAACAATAACTGTAACCGACAAAATCAATCAGGTGTTATGTGTAAGGCTCCGTCGCGTAGCGCGGCGCTTAACACATTACTCATTTTAACATTATCAAGGCAAGAAAGCAAGTATCTCAATTTGTATAGAAAACACACCTAGGACAACACTGGAGGCGGTGCAGTGTTATAATCGCCTTAACGTGTCTTAAATGTGTAGGTAAATAATTATTTATTTTCAATTTTGCTTTATTCTCCATCATCTTTTTCTGGATCTTGTGAATATAGGGCAGGATGGCCATATATAAATTTTATCCTGAGTCAAGGCGTCGACAAGTGGTATTCCAGATTGCCAGATGTTTTTGCTAACTAGCATACAATGTTATCAGTTTCTGTTTATCACCTGAAATTAAACCGGCAAAGTCTTTAGCGTATTTGGTACTGTTCCAAATCGGAATATCTACTCACAAATACGTCTCTAGCAAACAATACCAACTGCTGAGTTAATTATATACTTACTTTGATTTTGATATTTCTCAATTAGAGAGATGTCGTATGTAGAACTATTTTTTTTTTAATGGCTCTATTGCAAATGTATACAGATTAAAAGTAATGGCGTCACATCTACAATTTGTAAAAATTGATTGGTTCTAAATAGAGAAAAACCTCTCATGGTGCTCTTTTTAAAATATGAAATGAAATGGCCTTAGCTTTAAAACTGCTTTGCTCTCATAGAATACAATTTGGTATAGTCCAGCAGAGCACCCCAAAGGGGAGGCCACCTTGTGTTAACAGAAAAAAGCTTTTTTGGACATTTGGAAATCCACGGGTCTTCATTTCATCGTGGTAACGGCAAGAGGATGTACAAACGGAATTACAGTAATAATTATTGTTGGTAACACTTTTCAAAGAGATAGTAAAGCATACCATTTTTTTATAACGACTCAACCGTATTGTATAATGTCCTATTTCTAAAATGAAAAGAACATATGAATTGTTTTTAAACTGCTTATAAAATCAATACAACTCAAGTCTCGCGTCTGCATAACCGAGTAAACAATGAGTGCATGCTTTGAACATAGTTAAATATTTCCGTCTGCATTAATATGCATTTCCACCGAGGTTTATTGCTTTAATGCTATTTTACATTTCGTGACCGGCATTCTCAAATTAAATTTGTCACCCTTACCTTCATTCGATTTGCTGGTTTCCTATTAGAGTTTAGTGTGTTAAATATAACACACAAAGTTGTTAATAAAAGTAAAATGTATGATTCTATTAATTTAGAACGGAGCACACATAAACCAGGTTTCGCCCATGGTGCTTACGAACTACTTTTTTCTTAGTAAAATTAGGATTTCTTAGTAAAACCCACATAATAATATGTAATTTTACATCGTTCAGGACGCGGGGCATCGTTTCGAGACAGTTTTGTGTTGAAATCCTGAACGGTAGGCACATAAGTCATGGTGGCGAAGGGTAGATATTGATATAGTATATTTATCATTCGTACAAATTAGTTGAAACGTCACAATATTAAAGCGCAGGTTTATTTATTTTGAGTTTCTGGAATTTCTAAATATTGTTTGAGTCAACGGCCAGCTGCTGAGCGCACTGCCTCGTTATGTTGACGTCAGTACTACATTAGCTTATTTGGTAGATTTATCCGGATTACAACGTTGAACATTGTCTAGCTGTAACTTATATTCATTTAGATAACAAAGTTTTATCAGAAATTTACGGCATTCTAACTACATTAAAGAGAGTTGTGGCACTGGAATTACTTAGGTGACAGTGCGGGAATAAAAATATGGACTGCAATAAAATCCTCGGTTTTTCCGGCCGGCGTACTACTCATAATACCAATAGATATTTAGGTTCTTCTTATTGCTTTCTTTCTAAATTTGTTTCAACATGCCTTTAGATATATTGATTACATCCGTAGATATAACGAAAAGCAATGAACGGGTGATATTGAAAGTTTGTGATGAAGACAAAAATTTAAAAACAGTAATTTTCGAAAATAGTTTTATAGTTTTATCTATTTATTGTGTATGTAAAAACGCAATTTAACAAAATAAACAAAATGTCGAGTGTAGTTCGGATGACCAAGTACCAATTAAGTAGCTAACCAACATAGACTCGGCCATGGAACAGTAGTAATTCTGGGATTGTCATGGTTTAATGATAATGCTTTTCTTGTTTAAATGTTTGGTAATATCCGTGAATCATATGGCGTATCCATTAATAGAAAAGTTGGCGCATCACATGGTATATTTGTCATCTTAGTTGATTGATTCTCAGCGGTTGAATGGAATGCATTGCATATCTAAGTGGCATGCATTCTTGATGACCAAGGCTTTAGTATTTGAACGTATTCATTGCCATTATTAAAATACGTAACGTTTTTATGCGCCATTGTATTGTGACAAATAATATTGTAACCATGTTTAATCTTCTAGAATAATTGTAACTTGTGTATACATACCTACCTTATCCTATATTTAATCTCAGACTACTTTCTAGAGTATTGAAGCGCCTTTGATTGTGTTACAAGAATCCACTACATGAGCAGTATGCACCATGCATCATCTCGCGGCTGTGTAGTCTTCTTAATAAATTATGCAACGTATATATTAAAATATTCCTAATAGTGATGTCGTCTAGCGACTAAGCATAAGCTTTTTGACAATATGTATATGAACAAGCTACGCTTGCAGTGATATGAATTTATATTGATTTATTGTTGATAGATATGAATATACATACTGTATGCATTTCAGTCAAGACCCATCTAGTACACTCATATGTTTTGTCTGTACACTAAAGGAATTTTTAAACACGAGTATATATCTGTATAGATACATACGTTACATTATTTTTTTCAAGGTTTACTACTGCTTTTCATAGCCTGAGATAATAGAGCAATAGATCTAGTAGTCTTTTTTCAGCTGATCAAATTTACCAGGTTTATTTGCATTTCATTTACAATAAGGATTGTGACAAAATAGGATGAATGTAATCATTTGTGTTTGGTCCAGGTGGATTGTCCATTCATCGTATGCATGACCTATGCATTTCACACACCAGATAAACTGTGCTTCATTTTGGATTTGATGAATGGAGGGGATCTGCACTATCATTTGTCCCAGCATGGCGTTTTCAACGAGGCCGAAATGAAGTTCTATGCTGCTGAAGTCATATTAGGTGCGTAAGGCAAAAAATGTAAAGATTGTTAGAATAATATCGGTTTAGTTGTTCATGTATCATGTGCCTCGTATGCCATGTGCTCGTGCCATGTTCGTAGTGAATAATTTTATCATTGTTATCTACCTACCCTCTAAAACATTGTTATACATCAAGTAGAAAGGTACTGTTGTAGTGAATTTGTGGCGACGTCCGGTTACAACAGAATATAGTTGAGCGCTACCAAGCGAAGATACAACTTCCTTACTCCAACAGTCGTGCCACGGTCGCCAGGCATGATCACCCGGACACATCAGAGACACCCAGCATGTCAAACTATACTCGCATAGAATAGTAAGCTATACTAGTGAATCGTAAAAATATTGTTCCCAAAGTATTATTGTAACACATTCTTTTGATATTCTTGCATTGGCCTTCCCTAGAGGATTTACTTATAGCAGTCAGGCCTTTATTAAATTGTCTAAGTTGCATAAATTGCCAAAAGTCTACAAATACCTAATGATTTTTCATAAAACTCATTTGGCTCATTCGGCAAAGCTGTTAACAGCAAGCGCAAGCTGGTGATATTATAAGATTAGGAGAATGTGAGGTATTGTTTGATAAATATGGTGCGGTCGGAGGTGAAAAACATATAACGTATTTTCGGCACCTCAGGCGTGCACTTCTGTGCAGATTGGTTGATTCGCAGAAATAAGTTCTTTAGTTCTACTACCACTAATTTCAAATTAATTTCTGCGAATTTACTTGTCGACACTTATAACCTCGGTACCCTCATGTTACAGGTGAAAAGACTTCTTCTTCAGGGTTATCTCATCTCACTATTCCATTGTAATCTTGGGCAAATATGTAATTATTTATTAACAGAATAGGACTTCAGATACAATAATGTGTAATTATAACATTATAGCTACGGTTGTTCTTATTTGTGTCTTTTGCCAATGTTGGACTAGTTACACTTCTCCGAAATACACGCAAGAATATAAACCATATAACATTAACATTGAGAATCATGCTAGTTCGTAGATATTTCTACGTCATGTTAAGTGGAACGGAAAGGGGGTACGAACAGCAAAGGAAATGATCAATTTAGTCATTTTTTTCGGGCAGTAATTTCATTAAGAGTTTTTGTTTTCAGGTTTAGAACACATGCACAAACGACATATAGTGTACAGAGACCTGAAGCCAGCGAACATTCTGCTGGATGAACACGGACACGTCAGAATATCAGATCTCGGACTCGCCTGTGACTTCTCTAAAAAGAAGCCTCACGCCAGTGTGTGAGTATTATAAACTTCTTTCTGGCTTATATTAACGTAATTTAACCAGATTTTCTAGCAAATAGTTTCGGTGTCATATTGCCGACTAGATCGCTTTGGACGCTAATTCGGCCAGATTCTTCATTTTACACTTTCGAGTTTTTTTTTCTACAATGACGTGTTATTCACATGTTTTATTACTTTAAGGGTTGCAAAGGTTTTAAATTGTAATCTAGAAAAGTGCAAGCGAAGCTGTATGTACGTATATAGAAAACAGGTAATGAATTAAAATCAATTATAACATCGTGTTAACTAATTGAGATAGCGAGTATACAATTTATACTACTGTATGCTTGTTTTCATATTGGTTGACGTAATGCAGTGACAAATGTTTTAAATGCCTGTTGTGTAATTGAAGGATGCATACAGATGTTTAGTGTATAATAACATTAGCTGGTTCCTAGTTTAGCTCGTATCTGAATATACTGACTTGAGTCTCGCTTTGAATAGAATATAATATACTTTATTATACACCTTTTTACTACTATGAGAAAGCTCTGTTCAAAGTGGATGCCGCGTTTACTCACTGTTGACCAAAAATGAGAACGTGTTGATGATTCTGAGCAGTGTTTGGCCATGTTTAAACGAAACAAACCGGAATTTTTTGCGTCGATATGTGACAATGGATGAAACATGGATCCATCACTTCACTCCGGAATCAAAACGATTGTCATCTGAGTGGACAGCAACTGGTGAACCTCGTCCAAAGCGCCCGAAAGCACAACAATCGGCTGGAAAGGTGGCATCGGTATTTTGGGATGTGCGTGATGTAATATTCATCGACTATCTTGAGAAAGGAAATACCATTAACAGTGAATATTATTATATATATATAGCGTTATTGGAGCGTTTGAAGGCCGAAATTGCAAAGAAACGACAGCATATGGCAAAAAAAAAAAAAATTGTTTCATCAAGACAACGCACCGTGTCACAAGTCAATCAAAACAATGGCAAAACTACATGAATTGAACTTCGAATTGCTCCCACATCCACCGTATTCGCCAGGTTTGGCTCTCAGCGACTATTGGCTGTTTACGCAGAACTAAAAAAAATACTAGCCGGTAAGAAATTTCGCACGAATGAAGAGGTTATCGCTGAAACTGCGGCCTATTTTGAGGCAAAAGATAAATCGTTCTACAAAAGTGGTATTGAAATGTTAGAGCGGCGCTGGAATGATTGCGTTGCTCTTGATGGAGATTACGTTGATGATTAAAGCTAATTTTGAACTAAAAAAACTGTGTTTTCTTTGTTAGGCCCGGGACTTTTCAGCCCATGTGTTACATGTTAAAAAATCAAATGTAAGTGTTCGTATTGTCTTTACTTGTTTATTGTGAAATAAAAGTTACTTATTTCTAATTAAACTAATTATATAATTTTAAAGGAACGGGAATTAAAAATATGAACAATAGATAATAGAGAAGCAGTACATAGTATCATAGCCGTAGATTATGGGCTAAGCTAGGCGTTTGATAAGACAAAATAGCAGTGGGTAATCTTTTAAAACATTTGGTAAGATGATTAGATAAAATGACAAAATTTATGGTTAGTAAGCAAATTTTTAATTCGTTTAAATAACAATTATTTTTTTCTCCCTTTTCTCTCTCTCTCTCTCTCTCTCTGTTTCCTTACCTTTTCCGTGTTTAACGTAGAGTTTTTCTTGTGTTTCGAGAACAAGCAATAAGCACGGCAGTAAGATTTTTCTTTTGTAAACTTATATTTGGAATAAACTAAAAGCCTCGCAATTAGAAAACAAGACTTCTGTATCGGTACTTCGATATAGTCTAAAAAAATTATGTTTTTTTACAGAGGTACCCATGGCTACATGGCCCCTGAAGTTCTATCTAAGGGTACCGGCTACGATTCCTCGGCCGACTGGTTCAGTTTCGGTTGTATGCTCTACAAGCTGCTCAAGGGACACTCGCCGTTCCGCCAACACAAGACCAAGGATAAACACGAAATCGATAGGATGACGCTTACTACGGTAATTTCATTTTTGTATGCAACATTAAACTCTACAGTTACAGCTAGGAATTTGTGATACTTTTTTTACGTGAAAACTGACATACATTCATGTAGCGGGATATTTTACTTTTTCCTTATTCCTGGACTGGGCCTAATTAAGTAGCAATGGTAATTAATACATATGAATTATTTTTTTCCTACGCTTATATCAGTAAGCTCATTTAAAAACATGGAAGAGGGGGCAGACGGGTTACGGTTACGGTTATTAAGGTCTCTCTTAATTTGACTTACTCTTAATTTTTTTATTATAAGATCTATATCGAAAATTCAGAACTCGGTCATTAGCCCTTGAGACTATTAAATTTTAAGAGAATGTATAGACAGTTCAATTGCGTAATAGGTCGTTTGGTATCTTAAAACATATTTCAATCCAATCAACGAATTTTGTAACAAACATCAAATAATTCAAAAGCACTCATCGTTATTCATAAACACAGTCCGACCTATCAGCCTGTTGTCATCCACCCACGGCTGTTCTGCTACATTGATAACAATTGGTTGCAGATTAACATATCAATTTTATTATAATATTAACATATAAATGAAATTATTTTGTGATGTTCTGTTGCATTGGCTAGAATATTCACGAATTAAGCAAGTAAAGAAATGACTTTCTTCACTTGCTTAATTCGTGAATATAATAATAATTGCTTGCTTGCTTAAGGTTAAAAATTCTTTCTGTTATTCATTCATAGGAATTACTTTAGTTCTTTAGCTTACGGTTAATAAGTAAGAATTAAAAATATCTAAAACCCGACTGCAAAAAGGCAGTTAAAATGCACTAAAAAGACCGAAACAGCACGAGGTCTGACACAAACATGGGCCATTTTTACGCTCTCAAAAACATTTTAAACCTATTTATTATTCCTTATTAAATTTAAACATATAGCTTATTTATAATTTTGTAATCCCCTTTTTTTTATTTTGATACCCTACTCGATTGACTTGATTTTTTATTTTTATTTATTTACCTATTAGTATTTTGAGCCAAAAATCCGCCATTTTGTTTTTTTCTTTCAAGTCTATCTTTGGACACATAGTTTTTGCAAAATTCACAACAAATTTACAAACGAACATACTTATAAGATAAGCTCGAAAAACATAACCCTTCTTTCACATCTTACCATTTACTTCTAAATTTGACAATTGTAACAAATCTATTTTTTATAGTGGTGTCTACTTATAAAGACAACACCAAAACTCTATGAAGAACTAACTTTATAGATTCATAAAACTCTGATGAAGTAAAGTGTCATGCGAGGCAACTACCCCTCTGAATCCTGGAATAATTAAGTTGTACTAAAGATCGCCTATTTCTAAGAGTTATCTTTTTTATTTTATTTCATCCCTTTCAAATTTATCATTTAGCGATATTATCATAAAAATGCGTACAAAGAATTCCCTTCACTGTTTGAGAGACAACTAAATGTGTATTGTCAGCTCTCGAGCGCTATACATTGATAGGATACAAAACTGTGTCATAAAATCAATTTCAGTTATTAGATTAGAATTCTTTTCATAGTTCTGTATATAGAAGATTATATGGTAAAAGTAAAAGATGGAATCATGTCTGCAATAGAATTACAATGTATTTCAGAATGTTGAACTACCGGAGTCGTTCAGTCCTAGCCTGAAGAGTTTACTCGAGGGTCTGCTGCAGAGAGATATCAACAAACGATTAGGCTGCAGGGGACGTGGGTAAGTGTCGGAAATATTATTTCGAAGCGATTACTTAATATGCTTACGTTATTATATTTTTTTTTAATATCATACACTTAGTCTTATATAAACATGTTTATCTATATTTGTTAGGTCAGTTGGTTGATTTTTGTTTGTAACGCTTAAGTTGTATTTAAAGTAGACTTATGTAGATTATAAATCCATGTAAAAACATTAAAATTCGATAGACTTCCTTGAATGTCCTGTTCCTAATTATCCAAACTAGCATAATTTCGGATCATTAAAGAATAGTAATACCTAATATTAATATATACCTCCTTTCTAAGGAGAGGCATATGTCCAGCTGTGGACTATTAAAGGCTGTCGATGTTATGTTTGATGAAAGAATAGTGCTGGTCATAGGCCTCCCCCAAGGATCGCCACTACAACCGATTCTGTACCGCCTGCATTCAACGGCTTCTCGCGGCCTTCACCACCTCGTCGGACTACCTTGTTGTTCAGTACGCGATCGCTACTCGAGAACTTTGTAGCACCATCGGCCATTGTTTCTGCAAGCAATGTGCCCCGCCCACTGCCACTCAAGTTTGGCATTTCTCCGCGCAATGTCAGTGACCTTGGTGAGGTATATGTTCAGCAGTGAACGTCTTTCGGCTGAGATGATGATGATGATGAAAGAATAGTAATTCATCATTCTATTTTTAAATATGTGTACTCTGTTATTACCGTGGGTAATATACCACATAGTAAATACAACTCTAGAACTTATAAACAAGTTTAATTTCTTCACTTACAAAATACTTACGTACTGTCTAAGGACTAAACACCAAAGTATGAATAAAATTACGTTTGTCTTATACTATAGTAATACTAATTCAAAATTCTCTCTCCTATCATTTTCTTTTCGTGACATTTCAGCGCTGAAGAGGTAAAAGAGCATGTGTTCTTTGCTGGTATCGACTGGCAGCAAGTCTATCACCAGAAATACACACCACCATTAATCCCACCTCGTGGAGAAGTCAATGCGGCTGACGCATTTGATATCGGCAGTTTTGATGAAGAGGACACTAAAGGAATTAAGGCAAGTATTGCTGTCTGTTGTTCAAGATAAAAACAACACTTAAATACAAGTATTACAAGGTTACATAAATATATTTAATGATAACAAAATATGATTTGATTATAGAGATATTCTATAAGGACAAAGCAGATTATTACCGTTTTATTTATTTTTCGTAAAGTTATTAATAAGCTTATCAAACTAAGCAGAGCTTGTACCATAAAAGCTAGATTGGCTGATAGAATACTTATATGTTTTTTTTTTATATATCCATAGAAAAACTTGAACTCTGGACTATTACTGGAACTGCCTACTTTAGTAATCAAACAACTCATTAAAATGAATGATAATACCCAAAATACAATTTAAAATTAAATGGTTTCAAGATTCTCATTTCTAACCGTATTGTTTTACTCACTATTAGCATATATTGTTGGTATACAAATTAATTTTTGTTTATGTTACTTGTTATATTCACAGCTGACGGAAGCAGATCAGATGCAATATAAAGACTTTCCCTTGGTCATATCCGAGCGCTGGCAAAGTGAAGTGGCTGAGACCGTATTCGAAACTATCAATCAAGAGGCTGACAAGACAGAACAGAAAAAGAAAGCCAAGCAGAAACAAAAGTTTGATGCTGACGAGAAAGGTGCGTACTTTTATCTGTGAATGACGCCTACAGGTCATATGATATTTTCCCCAGCACTGGTCTCTAAAATATCGTCAAAACGAAAGTCAAAATTATAAATATTTTCTGTCATAAGATAGTGGTTAGTTTATGGAAGTGATGCGAGTGGTGTGATAACCAGCAAACTTCAAATTATCTTTGTGAATCACAGGACATAGATTTATTCTTATTTGACAAATATATGAGACTGACATCTTTTCAGAATCTGACTGCATACTGCATGGTTACATTAAAAAACTTGGTGGACCTTTTGCCAGCGCATGGCAAACCCGTTATGCTAAACTATATCCGAACCGACTGGAGTTACACTTGGAGAACAGCGCTAAACCTGAAATGATATTGCTGGACAGCGTCGAGGAAGTGTCCTCAGACCTTGTGTCTATCAAAGGCGAACAGTGCATTGTGCTCAGAACCAAAAATGATACAAAGATCGTACTCACAAATACTGTAAGTATATACTTTTTTGAAAATTTGTGAGGTAAAAAGCTCGTTTTTGTTACTAGTCTTAATTTTTACACCGTCAAAGTGATACATAGTATAAGTTATGCTTATTAGCTTATTGCTTATATTATAATTTATTATGTAAAAACAGTATCTTGAAATCAGTCGATTCGGTTTCAAATACTTCAGGCTTACAGGTAGTGTGATTATAAATATACGTTCCAGGACGAGATCGGTCTGAAGGAGTGGGCGCTGTCGCTGCGCTCGGCGCACAAATGCTCGCAGGAGCTGCTGGCGTCCATGGCGCGCAAGGCGGGCAAGATCTACGGCACGGACGGGGCCAAGGAGGGCGCGCCCGCCCGCCCCGCGCCCCCGCACGCGTCGCCCGCGCCCAACGGGACCAACTAGCACGAGCTGTCCGCGCCCCACAAGGGCGCGAAGATGTTCCGCCGCTCCAAGAGCGCCGCGCAGCTCATCAAGTGAGCGGCGGAGCGTGTCCCGACCGCACACAGTGACTTTAGAACTGCCAATTATTGATAAATGAATGCGACGCGTTTTATTGTTGTACGAATTAATGTGATAGGACCGATCAAATTTGACGAGTACGATGTATAAAATATAAAAATATTTCTTTTATCTTTCAGTGATTTTCGATTATGGATAATAGTAACTTTTGTAATCGTTTGCACCGATTGAATTTTGTAATTATCGACGTAACGTTCTGGATGTTGTATTTAACTCTGTGGTAGGTATTGTAAAAATTTAATAACTTATAATTCGAGTAGATAAGCATAGCGACTACTATATGTGTTTGTGCAATAGATCAAAAGTATATGATAAAATAAAGAACGTAACGAATAATTGGTCGAGTCGATTGATATAAATTAGCGATTGTCTTGAAGATTTTAATGCGATTGGATTGTTCGTTGTGCGTATAATTATAGAAGCTTCAAATTAATCGATTTATATCGTAATTAGAAATTCTAGCACTTTGGTTACGACTATGAATCGCACAAAAGTGGCAAATTTCTGCGACCTATGTTTGTGTTGTCTCCGATTGCTCTCTTACGCAATGTTATCTTAAGTTAACTGTTACGAATAGTTCCTTTTAATGTAACGTAAAGCGGAACAATATATTTATTTATTAAACAGTACTTAATATAAACTGTCTGTTATGTTCCAAATCAACTGTTCATATGTTTCAACATTGGTTATATAAATAGAAACAAATGTAAGTAGATCTAATAAAAACTCTTTTCATGTAATATTTAGAGGCAATACTTTTCTAACAACATTTAGGTGTGATTAATAACAATAGTTGTAAAGGCAATATTTAGATAAAAAAAAAATAAAGCATGTTCAGTGTCCATATATTTATGTGGGGATTACATTAGTATTTATTCCATAGATGATTTGTAATGGCCTGGCCAGGATGACATTTGTATGTTGTTTATGTTTTTGTAATAATTGTATAGCAATGCAATCTTAGTTGTTTAATGATTTGAGTCTGATGCAGATTTAGTTTTAACAAGGTATTCTTGTGTTCGTTGCCATGATTCTTTGTATAGGTTTATTATGTATCTTATGATTTTCTATATTTAATTTCGGTTATGACATTGACTTATTACAAGAAACTGAGCAATAGTTAGAAATAGTTATTATAGTAAATTTATGCTCGTGTATATAACAACAGGTAAATTCAGTATATTAATAATAAAAATATCGATATAGCTTGGTTTGTCATATAAAATGCAGTAAATGGAATTCGTGGCTATATAAATGCGAATAAATTACATACATAATGCGGTGATTGCTGTTATGAAATTAATTCAATGTAGGCGTGAAATTAAACTTTAAATTGTACCGTTTTCACAAACAACACTAGGTTTCATTTACTACATTTTATTGAATTAGTTAAGTAACCGGCAAAAATCGGTTGGAGATGGAATTGAGTAACTTAAGTAGATGAATCTACAGTACCGAAAATCTTTTTAAAATAAAAACATAACTAAATAATAAACTTATGATGAAAGCCAAATTAGACTATAGTTTGGTCTTACACTTTCACCATATCGATTAATAAGATATAGAGCTGACACAAATAGAATACAGTGGAAAAGTGTACTCTGTATTTTCTACCGCTAAATTTGAAAAGTTATGTTGTAAGTGTGTACATGTGTATATGAAAACACTAAAGCGTCTATTATAATACGGTCTATGAGTTGATTGTTACTTGACGTTTTGACTGTGTGTGTACAGGCAGACCAAGTAGTTATCAACCTTTGTATTATATGCTATCAGACTGTCAGTGGACAGTTTTGATTCAAGACAGCTTTTGTCTAAATTTTTGCCATCGTAGTTAACCTGACTGGCTGTTTGTGTACTTGCATATAATAAAGGGTTCTTATGAAAGAAGGACCAGCTTCGCCCTCCTGGCAGTCTAATCTCCTGACTTCGAAATTGTCATATAGAACTTTTAAAATTAGCGACTTTGTCAAAACGTGAAGCATAGTTGAAGTAACAGGTCGTATCAAGTTATGGTCATACCATGCAAAAGTGTAAATGTAGTTATGGTGCACACTTATAAAAATAATAAATTTTCATTTTTTTACAGAATAAGCTATTTTCACAAAGCCGATTGGCTACTTAATTTATTAATTCTGTAAATTATTTGGTATATACTTTTGTTATAGACGTTAGATGCTAGTCAAATGAATTTTATATAACTAAAATGATTGATTTAAATGGAACTAAGTAATTTATATTGAATATGTAAAATATAATAGCTATTACGGCTAAGCAGTATTATAGGTTAGTTGTTTTCTAGATGGAATCTTTCTATTGTGATATGTTTCAAACGTTTACATAGAATAGATATTATGTCGATGACAGTAGTTATTTTTCATCTCTCATATTTTTCCTCTTATAAAATAATTCTAATAATATGCTTAGTTGCTTATGTCACAGAGAAAGCAAGAGAATTTTGAGGTGACTTATATTCAGTCATTATAGATTACTGGAAGTAGCTGACTAACCTAACCCACCCCCTGTGATGTCGATCTTAGGACCTAGTTGTCAATCACACTCATCACAGATTAGTGAAGCTCCTCTGTATTAATCGTTGTCTACAATAATCTGTTACTTTAATATAAGTTAGGAAACAGTACCATTATATTGGAATATTGGCTATGAGAAATAGTTTATTACTTAGTACCTTCCAAGGTTAACCTGAGTTGCATTTGGAATATACTTTATGAAACGCCAAAGTAGTTGGGGGTATTCAACATTCCGGTATGCCAAATTAGATTATAGTGGTGGTTAAATATGATGCATTTAAAAAGTTATATTTATTTCGCGCTACATTGCTCACCGAATTAGAGCTGTTATTAATAACTTGCTTATTTATGATGATTATAAAATTATATTGTAATGTCCATAGGCACCGGCTATGTCTGCATCAGACAAACTGTTACATACCTCTGTTAGAAGATATTTTTATTGTAAACCTACATCATGTGTAGTAAATTGTTTATTTAATCAGTTGTTTGTTTTATTACTAAATTAATTATCTCTAGTAATGACAACATTTAGTGGATAATCTAGTGGGGAGGGGTGGGGGGACTTGACTCGAACAAAAATTAGTACTTAGAAATTTAACATTTTATAAAGGCATCCCTCAATCCGATATGGTGTACACACAATCACAATATTTTTGAAAGACCTATCTATGACTAACTTGACAGAGGGAGATGACAAGAAAAAAAAATTCATGACATGTACCTACACAATTTTTATTTTATTTTAGCTGTTAGCTATCAAGAGTGATATTTATCCAGGTATACCTACCTATTTTTTTTTAAATTCTTGTAACAAGATTCTTGAGAAGGTAGTTAATTAAGCCTCTGAACGAAGTCATGTTCTATATCCACAAGCAAGATTAATATAAGTTACCGGTAACCTATGCACTGAAAAGCAAACAGAATTGTTCATCACCCATTTGTGAACTCTACCGAATGTAGTTAAGAGTGCCAAGTGCTTGTTTATTTCACTTCTACTCGATCGTCACGTTGACCGCGTTCGGAGCTACGATTGGCCAGCACTGAAATCCACCAATCGCAGCCCTATGATGTGACCTAGGTCATCACCATAGACATACATAGGCATCAGGCATCCCTGGTAATTATTTTCTTAGTTGACATTTGCTGAAACTTCATTTGTACTTTGGTTGAAAAACTTTCTTAACAGCAAGCGGTCAATGAATAAATATTACTTTCAATTATAAATTTCTATAGGTTTAGACTAAAAAGCATATTAACCAACGAAATACCTTTTTCGAGTTGTTGGGTATTCCTCAAAGTTTGACAGGACGTATGACAGTAAACAGTTTAGTCACGTCACAACAACAAATATTTACTATCCATCTGAAACAACTAAAATGTAAAAAAACGCGTTGTGTAGAGTATAAAATACATTTGTATATAGTCGTTCACAGTAGTTTAGTATATTAATCTTTAGTTCAATGTTAGGCGGTTACACTTTTTCGGATTTATTGTATTTTACGTCTCTTATAATATGTATTCCCTTGGGCGGCCACTACAAGCAGATACGCGATTTAGACATGAAGCGAAATTATGGAACTGGCCTTGGTATACTTATCGTGTATTTGATCTGTGGGACTCATATTTACCATTCCGTGCTCATAACTTGGGGCAATATCATAATAATTAAATGCTGTGATAAACGGTAAGTAACGACTGCCTATTGCATTACTAACAGTGTATCATAAATATAAATTGAGATAATATTTCCCTAAAAATATATGAACACATCAATAATAAAGTATTCATTTAAAGCGGCGGTAGGGCTACGCATGGTAACTGTGTCGGTCAAGCGATGTCCGATGTCCCGCACCTGATTCTAAAATTTACTCTCCGTAACGAAAACACTAGTAATGTCCGACTCACGTTATTTTTACTTTTAAATCATCTACTGTAGTACCTACCAGTCCCTCTTGAGTGGACTTAAAATAAACATTGATAGTTGATTCCAGAGAAATAGGGCGAAGAGTCTATAATGTATATGTACCAGGAGTATAGTGGATAATTTGATGTCGGATAGTCACTCATCTCTTTTCATTTTTAACCTGAAATCCTCTTGGTTTCATTAAATAATACACTACACTGATAATAGCGTACTTCGTATCTCTAGCGTTTAAATCTCGTCTCGATTGGTCGAATTACACGGTTGCGGTCTCATAGTAAACTAGTTTTTTAGTATTTTTAAGCTACTAGAAAATGAATAAAAAAATATTGATGTTATTTTAATAAACGCAATATTAATTTTTATAGTTACCTTCATCACATAAGTTTATCGTACACGTGGACCTACCTTGCTTACATGCATATTATTGAGAAATACCAAAGTCTGCCATATATTTTGTGGGTACACCAGGCTATAGCACTTAGGCTAGTGGGTATGGCTTTTGAAATTTCCTTGAACGAAAGAATTAAAAACGAAGCACAAGAACAAAAAAATCAATCTTCAAAACCCACTGTGGATAACGTGGAGAATAGCATACCTGAAGACCCTAAAGCTATTGAAATCATAGCCTACGCATATTTTTTTATTGGATTACACAAAGGTATATGGCTTTGTTAGTTACCTTTAGTCGAAAATTTATGTAAATAACATTACACAACAACTATTTTTAATTTTATTTTGAAGCTATTTTTCCCGTACAATCAGATGTCGTTTCGCAAGCCTCTACTCCGAGTCTCGCACCATTTGTAGAGAACGAAGAGTGGAAGAGTTACATCCCTCCGACAAATAGCAACACAGAACGGAGAGCAGGGGAGGCGAGGTGACGTAACACGAGTAAGAGCGGTTACACCAACTACACTCTTGATCTCACGTTGCCTCGTCTTGCCTTCTGGAAATCTGTATCGCTATACTTATGAATATTATAATTTCAAGTATGTTTACAGGCCCTTACTATAGGTGGAAAATATTTCAAGACCACTTTGAAACACCATTCGGAGTACTGGGCGATTGTAGAGTTATAACTGAACAGAAACTAAAGAAACTGGCAGCATATGTAATACTATTTATGGTGTTGCGGACAAACTTTCCTATTGAGGTAGGTTAAATTTTGTAATGTTATGTTTAGCTAACAGAGGACCATTTGGTTCATCTGATATCAGATCTTTAGCGCAATTTATGTAGTACCGAGTTTGGCAGATCCAAGCCACTGTTTCAGGTGTCCGTTTACTTGAAGGAAAACCTTTTTTTTAATCTATACTTCTTATGCTTTTGGTCTTTACTGAATAGCACTTATTTAACCTTATTTCAGATTTACTATCAAGATAATTTCTACGTGGAATATGGTGCCGATAGTCGCTACTTGTACAACTTACCGCATTTGGTAATGTACTGCCTTCAACACCAAATCGTTATGACGCTGTGTTCTAGCATTTGTACTGAAGCTGGGTTCGGAGTTTATCCAGCTAAGTGTAATCCTCTACCTGGCCACGGACCATCTGCGCGATTGAGCTTGTTGAAACTAGCGTTAGTACCTATAATCATGCGTCCATGTGTGTTAAATGCATCTTAAATGTATTATATGTATATAAACTGGAAAGAAATTTCGAACTTAATAATTAGGTGCGTTTTGAGCTAAAATTAGCATACATTTTCTTCGGGATTTCTCATATTTAAAAAATGTTGGTAAAGGTACTACCAGGATTATTCCTTTTTGACTCTTTATTCTGATTCCTAATTTTCCTTGGACATACGCTAAATAATAATTAATATAGGTACATAGTTTGAAAACTCTTTTAACTAACTAATTTCACACGAGTTGAGCATTCGTTCTGGATGCATAAATCTATGTTTGCAGAATGAGTTAAGGTTTATGTAAGCAAAACCGATCATTGAAACTCATCGGCTAAAATTCTGGCTTAGGTAAAATTTACATTCTAACATATTAACTACTAAAAAAAGCGTGTTTGTTCTGCTGCAAAAGTTGACATTCTTTTATTAATAATGAACTTTGGCAATTGTCTATCATTAGGCGGATCGTATACTTATTTGCCACCGACGTGGTATAAAAAAGTATACTTAGAGACTCATTAAACATACAGTGATTTTTGTAGATGAACCACCTGGTATTTTGTTTAATATTTAGAAAAAAAAAACAAAAAAGATCACATTTTTAAATGTTTTTAGAATAACATAATAGTAGGAGAGCCCATGGTGCTAATGACATGAAAATTCGGGCGCATCACATATTTTGAGGATATATTATTTGGACGCCAAAAATGCTGCCATTCGAATCATTCAAAATGCAAACTGCAAATTCGAAAAAGCGCTATTTCGAAATACCCGAGCATGTTAGATTTTATACAGACGGTTCAGCTTGATGTTCCTGTCATACTAGCCAAAAATCTGACGATAATTTTGTAGGGTATTTTAAATCTGACGGTTAGAAATATTTTTCATTTTTTATAAAATGTGAAAAATAAAGGCCCGCAAAATTATGTAGACATTTAAACAAGATTTCTTGCGTTGTTTTACTTAAAAACGAAATAAAATGTCAAGGTCATGTGTTTTTTTTTTTGGAACTTTGTGACTCTTCTACTGCTTTATTTCACGCTAAATCGTCAGATTTTTTAAAATATACACTACTGTGTATGTAATTGACTCAACTTTCCTTACTATTACATGCTCGAGTATTTCTGGTCATCGATTTTTGAAGTGAAAACTTCTTTAGCGACGTTGTACACTTTTTTGTAATGGGTAAAAAATGTTAAACTCGCGTCAGGACACGTGACCTGGGCCTCAATTCTGCTATTTTATGTTTACGCCAAGCCAGTGTCATACCACTGACACGCTATTGAGATGCCATCGAGTAGCCATTGGCATCGGTATAAATATCGGTAGTTGAAAATATATTACGTTTTTTACGTTTGTATGCCTGCGCCTGCTGTTTCGTTTAGGCGGTGCAGGGTGCTTGCGCGAATGTTGTCATGTTTGTGTACGATAGCGCAATAAATAAATATTGTATTCTACCACATAAATGATAGTACTTTTATACTGATAATTAAAGCAATTCGTGCAAAATTATTCCCTAACCATTCCAAAATATGAAAAATGCACTACGTTAATATTCAAGTTTTCACTTCTGCCGGCACTCCCGGAGTGTAACCCGTCGTTTTTTTTATCTAATCTAATGTAAGGCTAATATGTAGGGCTCATGTATGGTGAAGGTACTCAACTGGGTGTAAGGTATTCCTTCTTATGTTAATATGCCACGCTCGAGTAAATCCCAAAAATCCCTTCTAGGGCTCCAACTATAACATGTAATTAAAAGTAAGCAACTTTTTTTGTAAGAAAAACTTAATTTCATCCATGACACAAACAAATAAACAACAAGAAATAGTACAAGATCAGGACCTATTACATTTTTTTCTTTGTTTTACTTTTCCTTCTATTCACAAACCCATACTACATCGGATATCGGCTACTTGTTTAGAAGCGTAATGTTAGAACCTAGGGCAAAAAAGTAACAAAAGTCGGATGCTATACATGTACCTACTTATCTAATTCTTTTTTATTATATATTTTATATTAATTATAACCTTTTATACTTTATAGCGCTTCGAATAACGATGTAGCATTGGAACAAGAATACAATTTCGCAGTCTTGCGATCTTTTGAATTTGACAAAATGGTGTTCGGACCGAAAATGCAAGATACTCTTAGGGCATGGGACATCTCCACACGCTATTGGTTTTACGCACATGCTTATAAGAATACATGCAAAGCTCAAAAGCAAATAAGGTTTGTATTTGATTTTATTACCTCACTAACAAGTCACCGTCTAGTCTCACTTATGAGAACTTATTAAGCATAGAGTCTCCTAAACACTATAGGTAGATAATATGCATCGACTTAGAAAATGAAATGGTAATGTATAAATAAATAAAATTGTACTACATTCAGACAGCGCCATCTAGTCCCAAACTAAGCAGAGCTTGTATTATGGGTACTAGACAACTGATATGAATACATATATACTTTTTTTTGTAAATACATACATATTATACATAGAAACACCCAGACATAATCAAATATTAAATGTTCATGCACACAAATGTTTGACTTGAGCGGAAATCTAACCCGCGATCTTTGGAATAGCAGTCCGTTACACAAACCACTACGCCATACGGTCGTCAATCGTCGTCGTATTACATTACGGTCTAAATTAGTACCTAGTAAGTAATGCTTTGGCTATTTCATCTTAGATCGTTGTCGACGGTGTATGCTCCGATTCGAAATTCGTAAATGCTGGTGTCCCACAAGGCTGTGTGCTATCACCCACACTGTTTCTTCTGCATAGCAATGACATGTTGCAAACTAGTACCATCCATTGCTATGCAGATGATAGCAATGGATGCTACTAGAGATGCCCTTTACACCGGCCGCCGGGAAAACATAATCGAGAGTCGAAACAAACTTGTGTCTGAAATTGAAACTTCCTTAGCGTAGGTTTCAGATTGGGGCCCGACTAAATCTAGTCCAGTTTAACCCAAAAAAGACACAGGTCTGTGCGTTCACCGAAAAGAAGATACCATTTGTCGTATCATCTCGGTTTGAGAGCACATCTCTAACTGCCTCAGCCAGCATCGGAATCCTGGGCATCGACATATCGAGCGAAGTTCAAAGGGTAAGGTCAAATTGGCCTCGAAGAAGCTCGATGTGCTGAACAGATCGAGGCAGTATTTCACTCCGGCCCATCGCCTATAAGGCGCAATTATCCTGATAACCCTCTTGCTTTCTTAGCATAGAATCGTCACGTCTGCTTAAGTGCAAGTCTTATTAGCTACGTAAAAATCTACTGACCTTAAATGCGGAGAAAACAAAATACATTTCATTTAAAATGCGGAACACAAATATTTACCTAACCTAAATATTTAAGCACATAACTGTCCACTAGATGACATTGCACTTGCCCTGCTTTAAATAAAACTGATGATGTGAAATATTTAGGCATCACGATTGACACAAATTTAAATTTTCGCAAACACAGAGTTTTTATGTATGAGAGTACGCAAACTCTTTATTATTATTATTAATAATAAATGATATTATGTAATAAAACAGACCTATTTGGCTATGTGTCAGTCGATACTAACATATTGCATAACTTCGTGGGGTAGCGCTGCTAACACCATTTTACTCCCACTTGAACGTGTTCAAAGAGCAATACTAAAGGTAGCCACCTGTCGCCCATTTAGGTTCCCTACTCATCAACTCTATCTGGAATGCAAAGTATTAACAGTTCGACAGTTATTTATATTGCACATCATACTAAAACAACACACGGAACTACCATTTAATCCCATGTTCTTAGACAAGAGAAGGAACGACGTTGTATGTGTCAAACCCCAAACAACGCATTATCCCTTCTTAGCACCATATCTATATAATAAGATAAACAAGTTTTGAAAATATATGCCGTATCGTATACAAAGTGTCAAACTCTAGTAGGAGAATATTTAGGTAGGCTTAACTACGCAGATACAGAAAACATCTTAGCAATTTTAAAATGATCTATTTGAAACTATAATTAGGTTATCAAACAAAAAGTAATATATATTTGTGTATACAAACCAGTCTGAAGTAATTTACATTATCAATCTATTAGAACTTTAACATATGAACGTCCTGTAACTGACATAGTCAAGCGACTGCCTGAAACACAGGTCTCACACCTAGCTCAGGCCGTATGCAAAAGATTTTTTATATTTTGTTTTCACCTCTTTATATTCAATCTTGCACATTTTAGAATAGTCATATTCTAGCTTTATGTTAGCTTTAGTAACAAACTTTATATAAGGATCCAATGACATCACACATCATCATCATCAACAGCCTTTAATAGTCCACTGCTGGACATAGGCCTCTCCTTAGAAAGAAGGTTTTGGCCTACTATACCACGCTGGCCAGGCGGGTTGGTATAGGGTTTGTGTCAAGTTTTCCGTCTTTTTGCAGTGCTAGTGTCCTGCGTTGTTTTGCGCCCTTAGTCGGTTCTTACGACACCCACGGGACGAATTGGGGTAGTGACATTCCGTCCGACATTCCGACAATAAGATGAAAATCTTATCAATATGTAACCTTTTTTTTTCCCTTGCGGAAATCCCCTCGGATACCACCTATCGGTGGCATGTCGGACTCGAACCGACTAAAACCGCACGCCGCCGTCTCGGGTACTAATAGCCGGGGAACCAGGTATACCCTAGAAAGGAAGTCCCTGGTGCCCCGACATACCTCGGGTCATCTACAGACGAGTAGACGTCCCCCCCCCCACGTGTGGGAACCCCATGTTCCCTCTGCTCCCTGGAAGCGAGCGCGCTTCGCAACGCGCTCGCCGCCACCCCGGCCTGCTTCTGCTAGGGTGACAGATGGCCTCACCTGTCACCCCCAGGCCTGCGCTTATGGAGGACGGAACGACGTCTCCCGTCTCCTTCGCGAGCATAACTTGCTCGCAGAAGGGGACGGCAGAGTTCCACGCACTCTCGCTCCGCACGATCCGCCGCAATCAGGCTATCGAGCGAGAGAACTCCCACTCCGATGGCCGCCGCGAGGTCTCGCCTCTGCCAGCGTGTGGAGAGCCGTGTCCACGGTCTGGTCATCGCAGTGGTGGTACTCAGGCGTTGGCTCCTTGCGGATCCCCGAAACGGCGTGCCCGGCGCTCGGTTGCCCGAGTCGTTCCCTCCACTACACCACACCATACAAAATGTAACCTGGATTTTATTCTGATTTTGCAAATGAACTTTATTTTATTTTAGTGAGTGAATGTTTTTTAGTGAGTTGAGAATGGTCACCCATCCATAGACTGACCTGACGAGGATTGCTTAACTTTGCAATGTGCTAACACACTCGGTTACCACTTAGCCACGAGCTCCTCAAATTACAGTATCAATATACTTTCCCAATTACCCCTATTCTCTTTGTTCAATCTAAGAGATGAAAGAGTTTACACTAAAAAGTAATATCCTGTAACGAATCACTAAAAGCAAGAAGTATTGAGGTGGGTTCAGTAGACGACTTTACCCTGCCCGGTAGAGCCTGTGCTGTGCCAACATTACTTATGAAATGATCGTGCTAGTCCTTAACAAGTTTCTTATAATATTAAAACATTCAGTTAGGTATAACTACTAGTTTAAGGATTCCAAGCGGTTGAAGTTAGTTTCTTTTTTGCAGAAAATTGTTAACATACTTACTGTGGTCACTATGGTGCGGTCCATCGTTGCAACAGTTTATCATTGCTTCCACACTGTACGTGCACACGCAATTGGAGAAAGAGTATGCAGCGTTGCAAGTACCGAATGAATCAGTTAGTATTAACAAATAAATAATTTAAGGGGGAATGGGTAATAGTAGATTACGGGGTTAAGCGTATTATTACCCCCGTATATTTCTTTGACACGCTCAGTAGTCTAAACGGCAAGATGAAATCTATAATACTTCTTTGTCTGATAATGTAATCAATACAAAAATAACTGCTATTAATAGATATTTTATTACTTACAGATGAAGGTGACTTGGGAGGTCGGATATTCGATAACACGCTTACTTTGTCTCACCTACCTTACTCCCTGTCTTATCATACAAAATCCGATGGTTGTGCTCAAATACTACAATTCTATTTTATGGATGTATCATTTCCTTTTATTAGTCTTCATCATAGCTGCCCTGGTATTACATAAATCAAGACATCGCAATAGAACTCAAATTTTATTGAGTAATTAAATACTATATTTGGTGCTAAATTAAAATACTATAATTAATGTAACGGCAATCTAGAAGTTCTTTTATTATAATTATATTACCAATATATTCTATCCTATCGGGTAAATGACTCGTTTATGTCACAACAGCATTTTTCCAAGTTTTTTTAGTTTAAACCTAACTTTACTAAAAGCTTAGTCAATCGATAAGTGACACAGTGGATGTATGACATATGACGCCATATTTTTCAGGAGTCATATCACGACATGTCGGTAGCAAAAGCATAAATTATTCAAATTTTGCAAAGAAATGAGTTACTATCCTTATGACTGATACCAAAGACAGAACAATACATCTTAAGATGTATTGTTCTGTCTTGCACTGGCGCGACTTTCAGGCTTTCTCTAATGTATTCATTCCTCACCTTGCTCATTCTAGTCACATTAAATATTTCAGCTACGTTCAGATGTCTCTCATCCATTCTCTTCGTTGGATCTGATCCCATAAATTAAATATTCAAAAATTTACAACAATGTGTTGTGAATCTTTATTTGTGTACTATTGCGTTTAGGAGCTTAAGGTCAAAAACACAAACTGACAAATAATCTCAAATTGTTAAAAGAGCAGAATGCCAAACCGTACGTAGTCAATAGCGCACGATGAATGAAACTACCACTTGTGAGTGCCTATTTTCTAAATGAATAGGATAGTAAACGTAATTAAAGATAATAATTAGGTTTATCATTCTATTCATAGACTACCCTACTACAATAGTTTCCTTCAGTTACCAACATAGGTCTATTTTGTGTTATAATATACGTCATAACACATTTATCACTTGTTTACTGTAACTTGGGTATTCATTATGATAACATACCGCTATATGTGACCTTACAGTTACTATCTCATAATTTATCAACGAATACGTTACTTCAAAGACCATGTTTTTCGGGGAGATTCTATAACGGTATAAGAAACATAATTCAAAACGTGGCTTCACCAGGTTTTACTTGCGAAAGAACGAGGGGTATATCTAGGTTTAGTTAACTTTTATCTAGAGATGATACATGCCACCTCGGTACCTCTACCTTTTTAAGCCTATAAGGTGCAAACGAGTTTTAATTCAATTAGATTGTTAAACAGTCGATTTTAGTTTGTATGTGTCTACTGTCGAAACGGTACAATAGGATTTTATTTAAATTTGGCGTAGTTCGAAATAATATGTAAAAAGGTTTATTTCTCTTCCTTCTTTTTTAATAATGAGAAGGAAGTACAATATAGAAAATGTGAAGGTATGTTTGCGTTTGTTGAAGTGAAAACTACTTTAGCGGCGTTGTTCACTTTTTTTGTAATGGGTAAAAATGTTAAACTCGCGTCAGGTGACCTCATCTAAAATTCGTAAGTCGGTTGGAGAGTAGACAGCCGGCGCGGAAAATGTATGCCTGCGCCTGCTGTTTCGTTTAGGCGGCGTAGGGCGCTTGCGCGAATGTTCGTGTGTGTTTATGTTACAAATAAATAAATATTGAATTCTACCACATAAATGATAGTACTTTTTTACTGATAATTAAAGCAATTCGTGCAAAATTATTCCCTAACCATTCCAAAATATCAAAAATGCACAACGTTAATATTCAAGTTTTCACTTCTGCCGGCACTCCCGGAGTGCAACCCGTCGTATTAATCAATGTTAGTGACAGGTCAGATTACGGTTGTATCTATTTGTTTTCACACTTCAATGAGGAGCCTACAGTTTGTGTGCCTTTTCTAAGGGCAGCCATTTACATAAAAGTTTACTTCATTCACAGCTTTTACTAGTCCACTGCTGGACTAGTAGGCCTCTCCATAGCAAGGAGGTTTTGGCCTACTATACCACGCTAGCCAGACGGGTTGGTATAGAGTTTGTTTCAAGTTTTCTTCTCCTTGCAGTGCTGTTATCCTGCGTAGTTTGCTCCCTCTCCACAAGATGACTAGGGGGTGTGAGGTAGGGGGGGGGGGGACACTGTATTCTTAATCCGTCACCACACGGATTTACCTACCATACTATATTTATATTTCGGTTTTGCTGTCGTAACTTGTTCCAATAATAAAACAAACATTAACATAATCATCGATAAAATTTATTCTGATACATTATAACATTTATCATTTCATTAAAACATTGATTCCTAAAAGCAATTATTGTACTCAATACAAATTTAGACTTATAAACTACACTAAGTCATTAGTTAACGAAAATATAACATTTATCGCGATGATAACACATATTTACATACCGCTGCTTATGTGCTATCACAGATATCTTTATGTGTAAAAAAACTTAATTATATGGAAGACAATGACATTTTGGTCAAATCAAGTAAGTTAATTTTGTATACATTTAAAAATCTGCATACTTCACTCACAGCTTATAACATCTTTTAAAGTATTAATATGTTTTATTGTCTTTTACATCCAGGTACACCTATCTTAAACATTTTCTCATAAATACAGGTGTGCTTAACAATAGTCTGTACCAAATTTTATTTTAAAAACTACAAATGACTTCACTATACCTCATAACACTAAACACTACTGAACTAATAACCAACATTAGACTAATAGGTTTTCTACGATAGAAGGTGGTCTTCTTTTTAAATCTATTGTATGGAACCTGACATTGAACATACTTCAGTAAGCTAATATAAATTATCGAGCCCTCGTGAGTCTTTTTAATCTCCCAAAATAACATTTTAATAAGGTCCTACCGCTTTTAACTAAACAATCCAAGTGTTATGTCAGTAAAATATAACAATGTAGTGTTATCAATGCAAGGGAAATAAAAAAAAGAAATGTACAAAGAAAAGAAACGTATAAAATTCCGATTTGAGATATACCTATATAATAGACACTCGGAATTTAAAAGCGTGCGTGCGTCAAGCACAATAACCTTAAAATATCTGATATATGAACATTAAATATAAACAGTTTATTTATAAACAGATAGTTCAAATATGGATTCGTAAACACTTTTCTCATCTACGATACTTAAATAACACGTAAGCATTACTGCTTACGTGTTATTTAAATACATGCACGTTTACTTTTTTACACACCACATTTTTATTGAATTGAGAACTGGAATGTTCATTATTTTTGGTCAGCTTTTCATAGGTTAAGCTGTACACTAAGAACCTCAAAAACCTCTTTAGGACACTATATTTTTATTGATATTTTCCCTTGTTTTGCTCATAAAATGTAGAAAATATATTGTCAACACACATCGCTACGTTTATAAATGTTTTACATCATGAACATACTTTACTGCGACATTTTTTTTTGATAATAATATATAAGTACATATATTACTAAGGATAAGAATTTATGATAGTTTAGTTACTTGTACCGCTGAAATATTCACCTGTGGATCTTCGATAGCAGCTTTGTTCTGTACCAATCTTAATTCTATAAGTGCGCATGGAATCTTCTCAGTTTGTTGAATATCTGAAAGCAAATTATACAGTTTTTTTTGTTTTCAAGTTAATTTTACGAAATAGATTTGCAGTTAGATTAACTGAATATTAAAGAGGTAATAAAGAAAAATATTGACTTTGAAATCTAGTTTTTTTTTAGGAGCAACGGAGTGTCACAAAAGCGTTCTTTCAAGTCACAAGGTCGTGCTATAACTCCGGTCGAGTCTGCCATCTCTACCGAAGTGTAGATTTATCACGGAGAAAGTGTCTATTAAACAGTCTTCTTTTCCCAAGTATTTTTTCCCAAACTAGTTGGGATCAGCTTTAAGTCTACTACGACACGGCTGAACTTCGATGTTTTACATGGAGCGACTGCCATCAGACCCCCTACAACCCAAGTACTAGGCCACATTGAAGTGCTGTTAAGGCTGTCGTCGGACTTTTTAAGGCTCCAACCCGTAACGATTGCCAATGCTGTTCGAGTGGCAACCAGGACCGACGGCTTAACGTGCTATCCGAGGTACGGCATGGGTCTCAATGTGTCACCCATCCATAGACTGACCTGGCTAGGGTTGCTTAACTTTGCAATGTGTTAACCTTCTCGGTTAACACTTAGCCACGAGAACCGCTGTCTAATTAACAGTATAAATAGTAATTCACTTACCCCTGGCTCTCTGATATGTATCCTGGACTATATGTTGTAAAGTTGAAATAGTTTTCTCCAAAGTCAATTTTAAGTCATTGTTGGTTTTGTGAGACCACGCCAAGAAGAGTGCTGCGAATAAATCACCCGTACCGGTGAACGTCGCATCGAGCTTTGGTATTTGAATTTTGTAACATAAACCTGCGAAAAAAAAAAAACAATTTCACAGTACTGCTTAATTAACCTAGAACTAAAAAGTTAGAAAAGGAACCCTTATAAGATCACTTTCTTGTCCGTCTGTCCGTGTGTCACCACCGATTTTCTCAGGAACGGGTAGACCTCGGGCACGCCGTCATTGCGGCGGTAAGACCCGTTATGGAGGATTGGCTCGAGAGGCGTCACGGGACCCTCTCATACCGATTGACGCAGGTGATCACTGGGAAGGGATGTTTCGGAGATCACCTGTGTCTGATCCGCAAGGAGCCAACGCCTGAGTGCCACCACTGCGATGGCCAGACCGTGGACACGGCTCTCCACACGCTGGCAGAGTGCCCGGCGTGGGTTGAGCAGAGGCGAGACCTCGTGGCGGCCATCGGAGTGGGAGTTCTCTCGCTCGATAGCCTGATTGCGGCTATCGTGCGGAGCGAGAGTGCGTGGAACTCTGCCGTCTCCTTCTGCGAGCAAGTTATGCTCGCGAAGGAGACGGCGGAGCGGGACCGGGAGAGGTTTAGAACTCTCCCGGCCCGCCAGGCCCGGGCACGGGCCAGGCAGCGCAGGCGGCTCAGGCGCCGGAGGTCGCAGATCGACCTTCGTCCTCCATAAGCGCAGGCCTGGGGGTGACAGGTGAGGCCATCTGTCACCCTAGCAGAAGCAGGCCGGGGTGGCGGCGAGCGCGTTGCGAAGCGCGCTCGCTTCCAGGGAGCACAGGGAACATGGGGTTCCCACACGGGGCGGGGGTCGTCTACTCGTCTGTAGATGACCCGAGGTATGTCGGGGCACCAGGGCCTTCCTTTCTAGGGTATACCTGGTTCCCCGGCTATTAGTACCCGGCGAAGGCGTGCGGTTTTAGTCGGTTCGAGTCCGACATGCCACCGACAGGTGGTATCCGAGGGGATTTCCGCACGGAAAAAAAAAAAAAAAAAAAAAAAGGAACGGGTAGACCTAGCAAGTTGAAATTTATACCAGATACTGAGGTCAATGAGGCAATACAAAATGTTTTCACACAGTTTGTGGAATCTAGATAACCAGAGTTCTATCGTAAAGGCATAAATGAACTTCCGTTTAGATGGCAGCAATATATAGACCACATCACATCACATCAACAGCTTGTAGTAGCCTTCTTAGAAAGGAGGCTTTGGCCTACTATACCAAGCTGGCCAGACGGGTTGGTATAGGGATCGTTTCAAGTTTTCCTTCTCTTTGTACTAAGGTTGTCCAGAGTAATTTGCTCTCTTAGTTGGCTCTTGCTACTCCCACGGGATGAATAGGGGTAGTGACACTCTGTATTCTTAATCCGTCACCACACGGAAATATATATTTTATTGTGTTTATAGATGTGAAAATTTTAAAACGCCAATACAAGGCAGAAACCGATACTAGGTCAGTTCACCTATATCTGTATATTTGACTATTGTGCTTACAAAGATAACACTGACATTGTATACAGAGACTAAATAAAACTTCAAATTTTGAAAAGAATTGCCATCATTCCTTTTACACTCTATATATTATATTGCTTAGATTTACAACCGATTCTTGTACAAGAGACATTATCTGATGATTTATTAATTTATTGATCTTTATAAATACCATATTAGGTGTAATTTACTAAATACGTAATTGTTACTAATAAAGTAAGGCGTTTCAAGGTTCACTATAAAAACTCGGTAATGGCAGTAGTGTTTATAATCAAAATTCTATTTATTGCCTAGTGACCGTGACGCTTTTTGTTAGAAGATAAGATCCAGGCATTGTATTTGTGAAAACACGAGTATTTGTGACTACTAGGACTGATATCAATTTTTCTTTAAACTTGCAATTTTTTAACATTGAAATATATAAATATGTATTTAAGTGCATTCAATATACACAATGTTCGATACTTTTATGTAGATTCGAAACAATGAGAAGCAATCGCTATTATACTGAATAAATTCTTAATTTTTTTTTTAGAATTTATCTGATAACAGTACTGAGTGTAGGCCTTACTCTATAGTAAATCATGCATTACACGAGGGCATCGTTAATATCTGCACAAACTAGTTCACGGAAATAGGAAGAATATTCGTCGGGTACCTACTTATTTTTCACCTCATCATAACCGAGGATTATTATCAAATGTCAATTTCATTTAAATTCAAAGAAAATATTTCACCTCTAACTGTAGAAAAACAATACGGCTCATTTTATATATCAAGATTTAGACACATCTTTATAGGTCCTTTTTTAAGTTGTTTATTATTATAAAATATTTCATCTGGAAGTAAGTATTATAACGTCCTGCTTCACACCCAGAATTTCTGATGTACATTTGAGTAATTACTCTAAACGATGAACGTGTATGAATAAATATTTACTTGATAACTACAGGAGTGTAATATTACCTCCACTACTCGCCAACCCGATCATACTCCTCTCATCTCCTAAATCAGTACTTGACAACACCACAGTTTTCACACCCTTGTCGTGAAGAGCTAGTATAGCCTTGAATGCACCGTCAATATCCTTTACTTGAATTCCTGTTATTAACTCTGCCTCGAATTGGTTTGGTGTGAGTATATCTGCTAGGGGCACCACGATATCTCGGTACACAGGTAAAATGTCCTCAGGAACGTACATTTTACCGTTGTCACCCATTACCGGATCGCATACTGGAACAAAATACATCTTCTGATTATGTAAGAATTAAGCCCTGAAGTAGGAAGCTCTAAAGTATAACTAAGACTAGCTCGGTTACAATACGATATTATCATATTATAGTCAACGTTGGATGTTTAATACCTTACTACGAAAATACCTTTCATGACATTTATGAGATCGAGAGTAGACGTCCTGATACCTACCTACTGACGGAACTGAATTTTGAACGAATTTTTATTACGAGAATTGGACTGTAAAATGCGCTGCGAACGCATGGTTAAGGTAAAACAGCAGCAGCTCTTTCTTTTCTTTTGTCAATGTTACACGTAGCGTAGGGTCCAATCACACCAAAGTGGCAGCTTTGGGCGGTGCAGCGGCCGGCAGTTTTACTAGCATATTATTTTAATCGTCATCTCTAAGCATTTTCTTAGGTCATCGCATAGTAACATTTGAAATGCTCAACAAACAGCTCATTAAAGTGAAACTGTAAAACAGTAAAGTAAACAGTAAAACTGCCAATCGCTGTGTTGATTGATTCTTATATTGACTACAATAAAGGATGAAGATTTTTTCTATAACAAAAATATAAGACATACCTATGTATATCATTCATGTCAAGGATTTAAAATCATAATTGAACACAATACAGTTCTTGTTATTTCAATTAACAGTTTAAATAAAATCGTCATCATCATAAACATTGTGCCTGACCTCGTTACATTTAAGATACTTAGGAATAGTGTTGTGTCAACAGATGTATCTGTGGTTTAATCTATAGGTATTTAACTTGCGATAATATTTATTTATATTCAGTGTACGCCATATTAAGCGAACAGAACAATAAATGCACAAATTAGGCACTATTGATTGTGTTTTGCCTTTTTTTTTATCTAGAAAAGTAAGCGCCTGGATGGAAATGGTTTTAAGTCTTATCATTTTTCATTGACCAGTATAACTTTATATGTCATTGTATGGTGTGTTGTATCACGTCAGGTCAAAATATACTATACTGGACCCATGTTTTTTTTTACTAATTATAACTTTTTCTACATATGAACATTAAGTTTTCCAAATATCCTCCCTTGCGCCGCATTTGTTTAAAAAGGAGTGTATACAAAGAATTTTCTTAGGAAGGTATTAGTAATTATGTATATAGTAGCCTTTGCCCGCAGCTCCACCCGTGTATGTCGGTTAACGCGGTAAAAAGGTGGTATAAATATTGGTAAAGATCATGTTACTCGTCGATAATGAAGCTTTCCATTGGTGTAAGAATTTTTAAAATCGGTTCATTGGTTTAGGCGTGAAAGCGTAACACACAAACTTAGGTACTTACACTAATGAAGATGATGGACCGCAGATTGGAGAAGCATTATTGTCACATTGGTTGGACGAGAGCTCGGAGTTTTTAGACATTAATATTAAGAGTTACTTTGATATATAATCACTTAAGATCGTTATTGAAAAACAAGCAATCAGGAGCACTATTAAAATCTATACTAATATTATAAAGAGGTAAAGTTTGTAAGTTTGTATGTTCAGGGTAATCTCTTAGTTAGTCTATGTATTTTAGTGTAGATCGTTATAAATCACTGAATTTTAATACAGTTGTACACTCTTTTAAGCTGTAACAATTATAACTGTTTTGTAGACAAATCAGAAACTTTACATAATTGTATTTTCTGTTAAATTGTTTTGAACATTCAATTTACTCTATGATACTTTAAATTACTGGTGTTATAGAAAATAAGAGATCAATGTTTTGTAATTTAAGTATAATTAAACTATAAAAGCTTACCATATACAAGGTTCGGATTCTTTTGCCTTAACTTCTTTATAATTTCTGCAATTTTTTTCAATGAGTCTGGTGATCTTGAGTAACCAGTCAAAAAGTGTGTGTAGTAGTCAACTTCATTTATTGTTAAGCCTTCAATAAGGGCATCCATTTCTTCATTTTGAAGAACATTTCCTTTGATATGCTTATATCCAGTGTGGGTTGAGAATTGTACTGTGTTTATGAAATCCACCTCAAATCCCAAAACCTGAAACAAACCACAATATTATGTTTAATAACCACCACTTTATGTTTTAGGTATGTTACATATTTCCTTTTAATTCCCTTTGCCTTTCCTAATTTCTTTTTCCCCAAAAAAAGATTGCTTTTGAGAAAAAGGGAATTGTTCAAGCAACTATAGAATAGAATATACTACAGAACTATAGAATAATAGATGGCATTAATGTATTGATTTAGTATAACTTAACACAAATTTTATAACTCCGCATTTTGTGGAAAATTGTTGGTGAGCTTTGGAGGTTCAAAACATATTTTCGATTATAACTACTTAGCTAATAAGTACATCTAAGTATCAAAAATAAATCAACTGCCGACGGTTGATACTAATGTAGTAAATTAATCATTCAACCGAATTACCTCTAAAATATATGTGTACTATTTCCAACACAATACAAACTTACTTTAACAAAGGGAATAATTTACTACATGACAATGTAAATTATTTATCATAATTATAAACTAGTCTTCTATGAATTAAGTTAAATATTATTTTCAATTTGTAACAGATATTTTGGTATACAATATTTAGAAAATACCTTATTACAGGCTGTCAATGACATGTATTACGATATTGTATTACCTGTCCTTGACTCCCGTTATAAGAATGAGAAACTTGACGAATTTTTAATCTATTAAACATCTATTAAGGATTTTTTTATTAAAATAAAATATTGTATCCAAGAGAACACAATTAGATTACCTGGAGTGGAAAAACAGCGCTTTTATTACCAACGTAGCCGTGAACTACATGGCTTTGGATGGAAAGAACTCGAGGAGTGGAATCAAACGACATAATTTCTTATAACGATAAACACCACACTGAATAAACTGCAACTTAGTAACAGTGTACAGTACAGTAACCTTAGTCTTGTGACTGATTATTAATAATTCAAAATAGTATCTGTAAAAACAATATACTAAAGTGTCACCATCTGAACTGTGTGTGACTGATACTATCAATAGCGGAAGACAAGCACATCTAGCACAAGCACAGCACAGACTGGCACAGACTAACCTGACATTGACATGACATACATTCAATTTGTGTGTCAACTGTCATGACAACAACAACAGTCAATGGCATAGATAAAGAAATCCTACTTCGTAGTGTAGATCCCAGGGAAATTAGTTTCTAATATTATATTAACTAATATAATAAAATATAATAATAACGTTTATTTCTCCTCATCATTAAAGACTTATTATACACAAAATAGTGAATAATGCTTAGGACATTTATTAACAGTCTAAAATATGTGAGGAGCTGGAAATATATATATACATAAATATATATACTATACGCACTATCTTAGGAATGTCAAAATTTTCAAGTATTTACTTTTGTTTTTTTACTCTGTTTCGTTTATTGCTTTTTCCGATAAGACATGACCTACTGTACTGACCTAATTCAGTTTTATTTTTAAATTAAAGAATGTCCATTATTGTCTAATGATAGATATAAAGTAGTAAGGAGATGTGTTTCAAGACCCAATCAAAAAGGGATCCATGGCGTGGTGGCGGAAAGTAGCCTAGGAGAAAAAAAGTGGATTTAAATCTTTTTAGAACCTGAAGGCTTTATTCCATACTAGGATAAATGGAAAGCTCCATGCATTTCCTAGTACACTATTTTTTACTTATTTTATTCCTGATAATCCCTGAATCGAAACTGTTCAGTTTGATTACTTTGATTCCCGATTTCCTTTTTTTAATGGTCGTGGAAATATACTTTTATTCGATGGATGAGTCTCATCTATAATTCGCCTCACAATTGCACTTGTAACTACTGTCATTTACTTCTATAACAATAAGTTCAAGATATCGGTATGGTTAAGAGATGAACTGTTGGACGAATTTAAAAAAATCGAAAACTTTTCTAGAATTTATATCACTTGATACTTAAGAGGCTTTCCAACATTTTGAATAAAATATCAATTTTTACGAGCTAATTTAAACCAGGCATCAACTTCTTTTTGTGTTCAAGAAGAATCTAAAAAACCCTATACCAACCCGCCTGGCCAGCGTGGTATAGTAAGACAAAACCTCTTTTCTAAGGAGAGGCCTATGTCCAGCAGTGGACTAGTAAAGGCTGTTGATGATGATGATGTCCATAAATTACACTTTTGGCTAGAAATGTTCATACTAGATAGGAAAGACTCCGAAAGACCGCTGTTTTTTTTTTTTTAAATATGTTTTTTCTTGAAATAATATAATTATACCTTTATATTATATAATACCTAATAATTATTGGGTACCATAGATTTGGTTCAGAGCAGCGGCTCTTCGAAAGAGTTCACTTCGAAAACAAATATAGATGAAATACAACATGATTCAAATTGCCCTTAAGTCAGCTGTCCTGTCAGCTGTGTTAGTTGTCAAACTTAAAGTAATGTGAGAAATGTTGTTGTCTTCGTGGAATTGATTATACTATACTTAAACAAAGGGAATCTGCATCTTATATAGTATTCAACTATACTCTAGTATCTATATATAGTATACAACTATACAAATATACTCAACCTAAAACATTCATACTCTTAATATTCCGATATGTTATCATCACTTGTAAAAGAACACCAAGCAAAACAAGCAGCTAAAAGGGTCATACAAGGTAAATATTAGACATGATTATTATTGCTACTTTTAAATCATATTCATTAGATGTACTGATTGGTTTTAGGCACAGCGATTTCACATCGTTATGGACAAAGATAAGTGGTATTAAAATCGATCAAAATTCTTTTTATCCAAGATTACGCCTTTTTTTTAGATTTAGACCTTTCGCGAGTCTTGCGCTAGCGTAATAATTAAGTAGCAGTGGTTTTGTAAATCAGTCTCAGGTGTGATGAAATGAATGTTAAATCATATGATTTATTAAATGTGATTATATTCAATCCCTAGTAAATATTATATCAGTTGCCACTTGGCCACACCACAAAAGTTATTTGATTGTCTTATAAACAATTATATATTTCGATGCTTCCAGAACAAAAGCGTAAAGAATGTATAGTTGCAGCTAATGATTTAACACAAGCACTAGTGGACCACCTTAATGTTGGGTAAGAACTATGTATACTTTATTTATTTTTTAGACAAAGCCATACTGTTATAGTATGTAACTATATTTTGTTTTTTATGTAGTAGGGGGCAAACAAGCTATCTGCTTTGATTGTTAGTGACTCCGGTAACCCTCACTCACTTGGTGAAAAGTTAGAAAAGAATAAATTAATTCATACCTACTAATATCATCAACAGCCTTTACTAGTCCACTGCTGGACATAGGCCTTGCCTCAGAAAGGAGGTTTTGACCTAACATTTTAATATAGTAATGTAATTTATTGTAAGAATTTTAATATAGTAATGTAATTTATTAGATGTGTTTTCCGTATATCTGTTCCTAACATAGAGACAACTTTAATAAAGCATTTGCCTATGTTTCTTCTTCCGCACATCTACAAAAGGTGTACAAAACCTACCAACAAGAAAAATCTAATCTAACATAGAGAACTGGCTTGTGAACCTCAACTATCAGGACACAGAAAATATAATTCAAACTGTTAGCTGAACCCCCCCCCCCCCGTCCCCCCTTGTTCTTTAATTCCCCCAAATCACATGGTAAATCAGAACTTTTTACGCTACTACATAAATTTATTCTTATTCTTATTTTTATCAGTAAATTATATAAGTTGTATAATTATAAATGAAGAATATTTAAAGTTTAAATGGAAAAGTAGAAATTTATTAAAACTGCTACATCAACTGACAAATCACCCACTAAGACAATAACAGGGGTTCTAATATATGAACACCTATTCTAAGAGGTGTCCGGTTTAAATCAATGCTTTGACTTGACCTCACTCACCTTCCTTTTTAAAGGTATTTAAAGCAATATGTCCAAAGGGCCCTTAACATATTCTAAACTCTTAAAACCAAACATTTACTGTGAATTCTGCCAACAATTTTGTGAACTTATTGCATATTTTGATTGTTTTTTGGTGAACAGTGAACATTGTTTTTGGTGAACAACAGAACTGGAGTTCTTTTTTAAGGTATTTTAAACCATTTTCTCTTGTCTCTAATTGCAATTTCATTACTTTTCCAGTGTAGCACAAGCATACTTAAACCAAAAGAAACTAGATGCTGAAGCTAAACTCTTACATCAGGGAGCTATTAATTTTGCTAAGTTAACACAGCAATGGCTAACTCTTGTTGAGAACTTCAGTAGTGCACTTAAGGAGATTGGAGATGTTGAGAATTGGGCACGGAGCATTGAGAATGATATGAAGATTATTACGGACACATTAGAAAGGGCTTATGAGACAACACGAGAACAACCAAGCAATACTGGAAGTAGTAATAACTAAATGTTGATTTCGTAAATATTATCTATAATTTATCAATGTAAAGTTATTAAAATGTTATCACCAAACTTGATTTTGTTTAGATGTACATACTTTAACTCATCTTTCACCTTTGGTAAGCAGAACTGGCAGGCTATTATAGCCTGCCAATTGCTTATTATCTTACACACATAACAAGCTTCCTCTACTGTTTTGAGTACTTTTAAATTGGGTAATATTATAAATTATCCTCAACTACTCAGTTAAGGAGTAGCTAACGTGTTAAAATAAAACCTCAAAATAAGCCTAATAATGAGCCTTACATTGGTTGCATATTGTGAAAAGACTACATATCTTCCTACATCTTATCTATAGCTGTCGTTACTATAGTTTCGTTTGACTGTTTACATGTCACTTAACAATTTTTCCTTACATACATTAATAATAATATTAATAAAGCCTTTATTTCCTATATATATTCCTATAGTCTTGGCTCGGGCTAGCATCATCTGCAGACCCGTCAACATTGTACAGGGGCTCGAATAACTTTGGAATAAATTTAAAAAGACCTTCGGCACTACAAACACCTAAGAGATACCAAAATTCATGTCTTGTCAAAATCACAAGACAAAATCGTTAGAACCCTTCCAAAAGACAAAAAATCATCAGAGCTCAAGTCGCGGCTCCAATTCCACAAGAAATGCATGGTGGGTATGCAGCCCAGTACAGTTGGATTGGGAAATGCTAGAAGACATACGGACAAGGAGAGAATAACATTTTTCCTACAAGTCGAAAACGTGCGTGCGTGCATCTCGTGGGTCTCCCACAAGATGCACGCAATGAACCTAGAAATGCAGAATGAATGGTTAACTCTAGGAGAATTTTGTATCCCACCAGATTTGAAATGGCGCACACTTTTATACGATTGGTCACCTGCCCCATTAAAATTGTACCTCAACGCCTTTCAATTAACTCTCCACGATGTGCGGAAATAGCCAAGCATTCACTGACAGATTGTAAGGCGCTATTAGACCATGATAGGGTATTACAAATCATACGCGAAGCTATGAGGTATTACTGGCGAGAACGAAAAAAGGAATAACAACAAACATAAGAACTAACAACAAAAATACTTCACAAAAGCCGTACTCAATTATAAAAACCGCCAGTGACTGCACATTGTTAGTGGACACGTATGAAAAACATTACAGAATACCGGAGGATATCTGTGCCTCGGCGTCCAGACCAGACATATTTCTTTATGCAATGTCAATCAAGCGTGTAGTACTAGTAGAACTCACGGTGTCCTAACGTTTGAAGTAAGTCTTTAGAGGTCTTATTCAAAGTGTTAGGACGTACTGAAGTGTTTTCATACTTACCTAAATAATTTTTAAACGGTCCATTATTTTTGTTATTTTATTGTCGAACAAACTAAAACTAATCCTTAAGAAGTTATGTACAAAAGATGGTTATAATCCGCTTACCCTTTTCAGAGATCCAGCAAACCCACAAACGTTACTCCAGCAGGATCTTGAATAACTTCGCAGCCGAAGAAAATACAAATACCAAATAAGTTGTAACATTTACCTAGTCCAGATAACTAATTATTTAGCTAAAATTTATTTCAATATTACAATTAAAAGAGAAAATGTCTGGCTGCGGTAACGTTTCAAACGTTACCCCAGCAGGAAATGTTTTTTTGAAATAACTAAAAAAGTTTAAGTGAAACAAATTTAAAAATGTGCCTAACAATTACAGAAGGGGAGCAACTAATTATCTATAACGTTTAAATGACCATTTTCGACATTATTTTGCTGGGGTAACGCACACTGGTTATTTCGTTGCGTTGTATGCCGTTGAAGTGGGTGCGAGGGGTACACCAGCTAAATCCCTCTATAACCTGCTTAAAGACCTTAGATTGTGCCAAGAGATTCAGTAAGCTCTTTTCTTGAACGAAATATCCAAAGCGGCATTGCTAGGCGCATATCAAATATGATTAGGTAGAGGGGCTAACACAGCAGACAGTGGAGATGAGCGCTGACGCGTAGCAAGGAGTACTGCCTAAACCTACTCCTGGGTCGCAATTCTTAGGCACTGTCGAAATCGCATGTGTTGCCCCCATCTATCACGCGATGAACCCGGCACCCGCACGGTGAATCCATGGAACGCTAAGAAATAGGTTTACTTAGCAGCTGGAACAAGGACAGATATAGTCTGTCATGTTGTGTCAATTGATGTCATGATAGTGAAACGGATCTTACGCTACCTCAAGGGGACTACAGACAAAGGTCTAGTATACAGGCACACAATGGAGTCACCAAACAATTTGGTATTCTACTCTGACTCTGACCTCGCAGGAGATCAAACAACAGGTAGATCGATATCTGGGATGGTGTGCCTACTCTCAGCAGGAGTTATTAGCTTGAAAAGTCAGCGACAACTATAATATCATTGTCATCGACTGAAGCGGAGATAATTGCTTATATATTATATATATATATATATATGTTTGCCTTGAGCCGGAATGGAACACGCGAGTTCTGGCGTAGTAGACCGTTACACAAGCCCGCCATCAGGCCGTCATATTATATAATGTTGTGTAACATCTGTATTCGCGTGTGTAGTCGCGTTTATTGATCATATCAAAAAGCGCGCTCTTCCCCGATTTCTGTGATATACTTCCGTCCCTTTTCACTAAATTACAATGCTGAAATGTCTTAGTCGACTCCTGGATAAATTACGGGCTAACATCAGCATTTTTTTGTCTTTAGTGTAGGTTGGTTATCACTGGTTCATTCAGTTTCACAAGGTAAAATAAAGTAGCTTTCCGTTCTTGTTCTTCTTAGATATTTCAAAGTACGCAACGGATTTTAAAGCTTTTTATTCAAGAGGAAGATTTATATGTATAACACATTCATTATTACAGTAGAGGATATCCTAGAATTTCAAAGATTTGTGTTGTGATGTCATAAATTACATGTTCTTGTGCGCTAACATTGCAAACGCTAGCTTTACTTTACGAAATAGATCAAAATAATGTACGAGTACTACGGAATTGGATATCTTAAGAAGATCTATAAAAAAGTCCGCGATCGTACTATATCTTTCTCCCAAAGATAACCCTCAGTAAACATTTCTATCTTTTAGATAATACAAAACAATAATAGGCCATTAGAGAAGCTATTTTCAACAATGCAGTATTTTTCCTTATCCAATTAAATGCGTTAGATACGTGTGCATTTAATGTAGATAAAGATTGCTCTTTACAGCATTTCATTAAAATGAGGATCATAGATATCAGAGATTCAAAATGTGGGTGGCAGAGCGGCTGTTGAGCTACGCGCCCGTCCCGGGTGGCAGCGTCTGGCATGCGCCGCACGTGCCCATAAATCTAGAGATATTTACCACCTATGTACTAATATTATAAAACTGAAGAGGTTGTTTGTTTTTTAAATTCGTTCAGTTCAAAACTACTGGTCGAATTTAAAAATTCAGGAAGGACAGAGCGGTACGCCTATAAATTTAACTCTTTAAAGTTTAATATGTTTGTCAAATTGGTAAATGGATTATGGAGGCGCAAACTGATCTACTCTACTTTTTCGTTGTCATTATTCATTAATATACATACCCATGCAAAATGAGTAATGGCCGTTTTTACTAACTATACTTAAATCATCTCCTAACTAGGAGTTCCGTAACGTAGGTAACCCCTAAATACAACTCTTATCCAATTTCGTTTTCACCATGCTAAGTGACACCTAACTAAGGGTCTCCTATTTTGTAGGGGTTTCATAAACCGTAAATTTGCGTAATAAAAATTATTAAAATGATTACTATTACTTAATAAGAAAAAAATATGTGAAATAAAATAATTTTTTGTATATTTAAAGATTTAATTACCATTTTTTGTAATTTGGTGCTGAAAATGTAAATTCCAATTCCAATTCGAAATGTCAAACTGACAACTGTCAAAATAAATATTCGTTGAGGTCATAAAGTAAATATAGTTTATATTTTAAATTTAATTCAACATCTTCATTGACTATTTGTTTAATTCAGCATCATCTCCACCTATAAAGCATAAAATGATTTAATTTAGAATGATTTCATTGCTCTAGAATTAAATATTATTTCAATAGAATTTTAGATGTTTACCTGGTCATTGTATTTTTATGTGTGTACAATCTATACAACCCAATACATTGGGGAAGTTCGCAATTTTTGAAAAAAATCAGTTTTTACTGTAAGTTGCTCTTGTTCTGTTCTAGAAATACTATGAATTCCTTATATAAGGTTACAATAGCTTCAGAGACTCCTTATAATACGGCTGCAAGTACTATAGATAGTTCAACTCAGTTGTGCGCGCGGCCTTTCTTCTTCTGCGCGAAGTTGTGTATTTACAAGCCTACGCACACATAGGGCCGCGCGCACAACTGAGTTTGTAACAGTTATTTTTTTAGTATATTTGTATTGCGTACGAGTTGCCAAAAGCGACATCTATTGCCCGCGTCGCATTTTGTTTGATTTATCCAAAGTAGTTTATAACTATAGTATTGATGTTCTTCGTTCGCCGTCGGACCACTAGATGGCGTTTGTTTTATAGATAAGTCATTTTATTAATTTATCATGACAAATTGTATAGGTGTTAAAAGTGTTTTGTCATGGTAGGAAGCGAGTTACTTTTGATTTTGTTCGTGTTGACCTCGTTGATAATTTAAATGTCAAATTAAAATGTTAAGTAGGGATTCTTTCTGGAAACTTCACAAACCGAACATATATAAGTCCGGCTTTCAGCCACGGGGGACACTCTGCTAACTCTTGTCTTCCAATCTTAAATAGTGTTTTATTTGTCTGGTGATTTTATTTTCGTAATATCTTATCTGTTCAAAGTACCCACGAAAGTGGTGAGTATATTCTTAATTTTCCTTGTACTTATTTGTTTCTGGAACCTGATCGATAATATGAGTGCTAATCCATTCGTAGGGTCCCAGATTTCGGGTCAAGACGGTCAGTCTCAGACGGCGTGCTTGTTCATTTGTGGCCTTCTGGTGCGATTTCAAGTTTCTCGGTACCCTCTGGCAAACTGGCAGTTACGCGGCTCACAAACCAAGCGGACAGCCGTACTCAAGGGTTACGTACTTCTCGTTAACTTTATAAATACCAATAGTGAACTTTCCTCAATACCTAATATAAATAGCCGACTCGGGCGGAAGGGGAAGTGACCTCCTGGAGGGAAGACGAGGAGGCTCCGAGCACCATCAGCTCGGCTCTGACGCGCGCCGCTGCGGTTTTTCTTATACCCACTAATTATTTTTTTTTTTTTTTTTTTTTTTTTTTTTTAAATTTTTTTTTTTGAAATATACATGTATGTATGACTGAGGTGTAAGTTGTTTTCCTCTAAGGAATCCCGTAGGTTTCCCACACGCACACACTTCTGTTCTCTTAGAAGGCGCCCTGAGGTAATCTCGTAAAACTCTCCACTGGGTCAGCCGGTGAGTAGTCCGCCTGAGAAGAAAAGCGGTTACAAGTTGAACTATCTATAACACTGATGCCGCCCATATCAGATACTGTTTGCAAATGACTACCCGTAGCATATAACCTCAGGGCATATAGTAACTGTTTTATAGGTGGCACTGATATGTTCCTGTAAAATAAAAAGCCCTTGTTAAACGGTTTGACCAGGGTAGGGATCATCATCATTTCAAATAATAATTATGTATCGACAAAGTGCCCACACCAACTGTTGTGTTTCTTTGGGTGAAATCAATGTCCCGGAGCCCTTAAAACAGTACCATCTCTCCCAAAACCAGTAAGCACACTCTCTGTGAACCACACACTTCAGAAAAGCCTTTGTCTGGCCGCTGGCGGTCTTAGTTACACCCCTCTTCATCCTTCCTTCTTTTCTTATACCTTTTTAGGCAAACCTGTGTCTGTGTCTACCTTCTTAGTAAAACATTACCTGGCTTCTCCAAACTTAATATAACTACAAAGTCTTACAAAACGAAAATAATGATTGTATCACTTGTCATTCATCAGGTTATTCCAATATGTGTTCAATTTTATTTAATAAAAATATAACACCCCCCTTGGTTAACCTAAATCTTGTAACAAAATCTTTATCGTCATTTTTTGTAAATAAAACCGGTCTGTCACAGTAAATTCTCGGTCTATTGAATAACCTAAGATTATTTATCATATTTAAAGTCTCAACAGTATTGAAAAAAATCCATAAATCGTCCATTTCAATAATGTCACTTTGTTAGGGGTTAGTTAGGTGGTCAACATTCGGGCCCCTAAGTTTTAAGAGACAAAGTATAATGCAATGCAAGCACTTAGGTGTTCTCTAAGGGTTGGTGAAAACGAAAATATCACTAAGGGTTACCTAACTTGCTCTAGGTGGCCCTTAAAATTTAGGGGATGTTGGTGAAAACGGGCATAAGTCCATATGTTAAAAACGGACTGAGAGGCAGCCGAGGAATGGCGAAATTATAAAGATTATTTATTGGACTATGGATTTCACGAACGGAATTGCCTACAGTCCTCATTTATACGAGTAAATGTTCCGTCACTACTAGGCGCGTAAATGGAATGCAGGGCTATCCATCAGAAAAATATAAAACGGGTGTTTCTCGTGTCATTTTGAATGATGCAGTTAATATATAATTTACAACTGTCACTAGTGGACACCATTTTTACTGTATGTTGTAAGCACACGATTGCATTGAATTAATTATACTTTGCTAATGGAAGAGGCCAATATCGATTTTCGCTTATCGCTTACGATGGCGCCAGCTGTAGACCATTGGAAAAAGATTTCAAGCTTGTTTCATTTTACTCATTTATGTGTAGTGATAGGGTAGAGTTCTTTATCTTTTGTGTTTGATTTTAGTATTTATTTTTTCATTTGAAGTTAGTTGTTAGTTTTGTAAGAAAAAAACAAAATGTGTCTCCTTATAAGCATGCACATACTCACGTCAAAATATAGTCATACCCTAGACGTATTTTGCCGAGTATGATTTTAGGTCCACTACGTAACAGGGTAAGCTCATTACCGTCAACTTTTAGGAATTAGATGAGGGAAATAGGATGTATAATAAAAGGGTAGGAATGTTAAGGGACAAAGAGATATTGCTTGATAGGATGCGGAGCGTACCCGTCGTCGTACTACGTCCACGTATTTACTAGTCTATTTTTCTATCTTCGATATTTTTTGTTAATTTTAGTACAAAAATTTGAAGGTCTTCGGCAGCAAACGTCTATACTGCAGACTATTCTAACCCTGTCTCCCTTCATAAAAAGCTCTGGCGACATTAATCACCAAAATTGTAATACCTTATAGTAGCGTTTTACGCTTTTTGTCTGTGGTTCTTTACCCAAACCGATTTGTGTAAGTTACAAGAATTTGAGATCAATTCTCAGTTTGTAATGGTTTTACGTTTTCAGGGTTGAACAGTTATATAGCACAAAATATTGTACTAACTGTTATAATATTATACTCGTAGGTATACCTACTATGTTAATGGAATGAAAGCAGTTCTTTTAATTTTTTTAAAGGTTAACTTTAATGACTACGAATACATACATGTATCACATTATATGTATGTATATCAATTTAATTTATATATAAGATGTACACGGCAATTTAAATGATCTAAGGGCACGATTAGGATTCTGCAAAAAGCACGATTTCAATTCCGTCCACTTTATTATTTTATAAGATATTGCGTAGCGTGCGTTGTCGTATTTTATCCAAACGTCAAACGTCTAAAGTCTTTGTTGAAATTAAAAACAAAGGAAAAATATAATAAATCATGCTTGTTTTCTGCCCTCACTGTGGCTGACCGCACCGTATTTCTCTTTCAGTTTCTCTGTGAACTCAGGGTCGTCCCATCCCCAGAGATGATGTGTTCCATCCCCGGTGCGCTGTGAACGTTGCTTTATGATTTCCGGAGATACATATTTTAAATCATACGCTTGGCCTATCTGAAAAATTAAGAGAAAAAACTGAAATTTCCTTATTTCGCAACATGATAAAGTAGATATTAAATATTTGCTACAAGGTTTAAAAAAGAACTTGGTCATTCAGTAGTATTCATACAATTATCTGGATTAATTGGATTGTAAAAATGAGTGATTAATATGTGAAATCGAATATAAGTAAATATGTAGTATAATCTACAGAATAATCAAATAGAAATATATATGGAAATGTATGAAGTAAGTAAAGCCATTGATGACGGCCAAGCATTAAGCTGATCGACGCGCTTGAACTTGAAATTTGTTGTACAAAATACTGTTGCTCGTATATCTCCGAATATATTACGAGGTAATAGGGTGCACATCGTCACCTGGCCTGCACATCTCCAAACTCTGTGTTTCTCTTAAGAATCTCTAAAAAAAGGGCATTAAAAATTACTTTGGGAGTCTAACCGAAACGACCAGTTGTCATTAATTTATGTTTGATCCTGACCAAGGAGATAACCTTTTATTTACAAAAAAGAGAAAGAAAAAATGTCGGAAATATCTATACATCTATAAATAAATAAAATTGAAGTGTCTGTTTGTAATGTCAAAATAATGGTTTTTTTTCATGCTCACACGGTTATTTGCAATATTTTAATGTCTGTCTGGCTGTTTGTTCCGGGTAATCTTCGAAACGGTTTAACCGATTTTGATAATATTTTACTACCTATTACTATTACTAAGGCAGCGCTTTTCGAACTTAACGCGGTCGCGGGCATCAGCTAGTATGGAATATATTGTGTCGATATGATCGGTCGGTCAACAATGTTACGTAACAAGAGGAACAGAATGCAAAATAAGTTGATACCTTGGCCATGAGGTCAATGAACATGATAGTGGGCGTAAGCATATTATACAGGGGTAGTTCTGTCGCCCTGTAGTCCCAGGGGAAAGTGTGGTGGTAGTTATGGAAGCCCTCTACGCAGATCATCCAGACACCGATGTTTTCCCGAGGGTTCAGTGATCTGTTACAAAAAATACATTAAGTTTATTAGGGGAGAGTTGTAGATACTTTAATTACTTTGAATTGTGTGATTTGTCTAAGAGCTCTCAAAGGACGAAGCCTGATTGATTATTTGCTGTGCCGTAATTGCACGAAGGATGTTTGATCATGTTCCGTTGTAGATTCAGGTTAAGTGTTATTTGATAAATAGACGAAATATATAAATGAGATACGATTTACAAATCACTATTATAATATTAAACTAAACGGTAATTATTACGAACGCGTTTCTAGGATAAATGCATTACGATTTTAAGGTACTGTGGAAAAAACGAGTACTAAATAATTATAAGCATTCGTATTTCGAAAACCTTACTTGTCATAGGGTCTATATCCGAAGGTATGTGCGAAGCTATTAACACTCCAGACAATATTAATGCCACAGGTGTACCGTAGTATCGTCGGTATGAAGAAGGCGTTTACCCAAGTTTCGTTCCAGAAGTACACTGGCACTACAGTGGGCAGAACGAAACATAGCAGGGGCATCATCTTTAAGTAGTGTCTAAAAAAAAAAACAGATTATTAAACCTTTCTACAGGTGATTGTAAACTTATTGTACTTGTTCACTTAGTAGAATTTTGAACCTTGTAGGTTTGGTAAAGTTACTTGTTGTTGAGTTCGCTAGTAAGAAAAACGATCATAGTTTGCGTATAAACAGCTGTGTTAATATAAAAAAACGACCTTTTGTGAAGAAAATGTGGATTGACTTTATTAAAAAAAAATATGACGAGGGTAGGTCAAAAGTTTTTCGGGCACATACTTCACATGCGTTTTTTCTCTCATATGAAAAGCGAGTTTAAGAATAAGAGTAGTTGTTTATAGACTTGCAAACGGGTAGGCCTATACATATCAACTTCTACAATGCTCTAATGCCGTTGGTAACTAGCGACCGTCACTGGACGTCTGATAAAAGAGTAGTCTCTCGAGAGGTATTTAATATGAATATTTAAAAGTACTAAAATCTCAACCGTTATGGAAGGAGACTCCCCTTAAAATAGAAGGTAAAAAATTTTGTAAACTTTCACAATCCTTGCACCTTCACTTCAAATAAGAAAATAAAATACCTACTTAAATGTTTTTTAAATTGAGAAGGGAACGGCTTTAAAAATGTATTTTATTTTACTCTTAGTTGGCTTTTGTTCATATATCAGTGTAAAAGTACAGAATGAGCTAGTTCATTCTTTGACAGTACAATGGAGTTAGCTACCGACATGTGTCCGACCGCACAAGAACTAATACTTTTTAAAACCAAGTTAATTTGATATCCTAGAAAAAAAATATCTAGGCTATTAATTCCCATACAGGTACGCCAACTGGGTCACGATTACAACAAGGCAGTGGATGACTGAAAGTCGTAAAAAGAAAAAGGTTAAAATCTATGCTTTATTTTTTAGACTCTTTGTTTAATTGTAAACTCAACATTATTATACTCTGGAAATTTGTCAAATTTTAAGGGACATTAACCTAAGAATATCCTTGTTGATATGACGGTTCTTTGAGGACTAACAGTGGCATTGTGATGTCAGAAAGATGAGATCCGATGGATGACAAAAAGATAGAAACAAAGTCTACATGTAGTAGCTAGTAAAAAGGTCCGTAATACACCCTTGCCTATTACAAAAGTAATGTCTATACGTAAATAAAACAAATCAAATAATCGAACAACTAATGTTCTTGTAATATCGCTCTTTATGGTTCGATTTATAGTTTGGTTTTATTTTTAAAACTATTCTTTTAATAAACGAACATTACAATGACTATCAAATTACAGGAAAAAAACTTACTTCCTTTGAAACATAACAACAGGGTCAGCATACAAATCTGTCAAATCAATCCTTTTTCCTCCTTCAATGACTTCAGGACTCTTCTTGCAGCATAACCAACCCATGTGAGAGAAGAATAGCCCACGTTCAGCATTGTGTGGGTCTGCATCAGTATCTGCGTATTTGTGGTGCGTGCGGTGGTCTCGTGCCCATTCGAATATACAGTCCTGATAAAAAGTTACAAGTTTTATACAGGAAAGGAAAGAAAGGTGTGGTTACATTTTATTGATTTGTTTTGTTCTAGCTGATAAATAGTTGTGAAACTACATATTGACTGTCCTTTTTAATTTCGGAAGATACCATTTCTGGTGAACACAGGTTCTAAATAAAATGTTAATTTTTGTGTGACTTTGGTTTCCTTATTTTTAGTGACTGTTTTCTACAGAATTCCTTAACATTAATTAAGAATAAGAATCTAATGAAGTTAGTTTATTGTATAGAGATATAAGCTTAGAGAGAATACGGGGCACAGCTGCCTGTAAGTGGAAGCGATACAGGCAACTAGAGAAATGGATGCCCGATTGTTCCATCTGTCTCTGTTTAGCATGCTTGCATTGCATTTAGCAATCTCTAGCATATATATTAAACACATTTAACTGTTTAATAAGTTATAATACAAATATTCTGTCAGGCATATTACAAGAAAAAGTATTAAGTTGAATTTTATTTTGAGATGTTCAATACACGCAATATTGACCTAAGTTACAACAGCCGATAAATTGCGGCTATTGTCATGCTTTAGGCAGGTACTAGGTAGGTAACCTAGTACCAGCACTGATAGGCAGACACTAGTAGGTATATACTTAGTAAGGCCGAATAGCATGTCAAGATGTAAATACAACTGTCATTGAGCACGTTCAAACGTTATGAAGATATCTATCTAATTGACGCTAAGTCTGCCGATCTATACAAGGTTACCACAATGTCGGAGTGTCTAAGTGCGTGTAGAATACGTAGGTACTTTAGAGTAATTAAACCAATAATAAGGATTAATATGTCAAAGTGAGTATTGTTTACTTGAGAGCTTTGCATTATCTCTAAGCCGTTTAAAAAAAACATTACATAGGTATTTAATTGTAAACCAATAAAGTTATTAACAGATTAAATTCCAGTGCCTTCACTGGGTTAGCTGCGTGTACAATAATAACGCCGCGGCGCCAGAAGAGTGGGTGGAGTGTAGGAGTAAGCAGAGTGGAGATGAGTAGCATTCGTTGCTTGGTAAAGTAGTTGCAGGAGTTTTTCATGTTCTATGGGTGTGACGAATATATGTATATAGGTGATGGAGACAACGGAATGCAAGTGGACAAACTCTCCGTACCCCCTGACTATTAAGTCACCGAGGTGCGGGACAGGGTAGTCGGTCAGTCGATGTCACACCATCAAACTGCTAACGATTGTTAAAGTAGAACACCTACTTTTAAGTGATTTATTCGGTTACATTTAATATTTATCACATATTCCCTGATTCCCCGAATACTTTTTTTATTGCAAAGTAATACTGTAGATCTATATAAATAACGTATTCTGGCCACCGTTATAACGACATCTATTTCTATTACACAGCTGAGACGAGACTCAGGCTTATAAAAAAGTAACATAAAATATAAAGCTGACCGCAGTCAAACTTATTGAGATGATAATGTATACAGAGTCCTCAGAGAAATGAGAAAATAATTTCTATACCGGCACAACATATGTAAGATACTAATAGATATACATATATGTAAGATACATATATGTAGATAGATATCATTATATCTTTGAATTATCAGGCTTGAGACGGTTCTCGAAAATCGAATATTCTGCCAAGTAATTACCGAAGAGATAAAGTTACAAAAAGTGGACCCTAATAGTATGGGGAGCAATAATCTGAAGAAAAAGAAATATAGCTAGTTACCTGGAAGCCCATCGTTTGCCAGATCATTAAGACTATTCGTAGTGGAGTTCGTGCTTTGAAACTTCTATGTGTCCATAATCGGTGAGATCCTGCGCCAATTCCAATGGCACACATTAAGTGGACAGCGAATGCTGTAAATAATCATTGTCATCATTGTTAAAGTATTGCTTATATAATGGTTGAAAAAACAAAATTACAGTGATCAGAAGAGCTAGCATTATTCAGTATATCTTATGGTTAAAGAAGTGTTTACTGACTCTTTTTTACTGAAAACATACAAATGAGGCATTTGAATAAGAGTAGATATAAGACTTGCAGTTCATTTGGGGCGTATTTACAACATCCACTTATATTTATAATCGACAGGGACGTTATAATTGCCATCATTTTGTCGAATAATATTCTAGTCCCATCAAAGTTAGGGGTAAGTCTATTGCCGTCCACGCGGCAGTCTAGGTATTATTTATATTTTTCTATGGAAGAGTGGGCTAGCGAGCAGGCGGGTCACCTGATGTGCCGCCCATGAACGCCTGCAACTAAGGAGTCTCGGGTAAATTGGGATCACAATAAAAATGAAAAGTTTGTAAGAAGGGAAGGCAAAAGCTCGAGAAGGTCAGGATCTGTAATTCGTACTTGCTGTTGCCGAAAGGTAATATGTTGCAATGTTCAAGTAACAATCTGTGTTTGAAGTTGTGCGCTTTTTTCATATGGATACATAGGCTATTTTTTATTTACTTACCAAATACGTTAGTTTGCCATTTAGCAGAAGTGAAGACTAAGTACAATCCGTACAACGAGCTAATATGCAAAAAGAGGAACCAGGATATATTGAACCAAACATATTCGTGCTTTCTAGGACTTGCGTGTTTAAGAACTGACACATCTTTGGCTAGACCAAGGTCTGAAGTTTGTGTATCTGACTCGAAGAGCACTCCACTCGGAGTAGGGTCCACTTGAGGTGGCATCTTCTAAAAATAATATAAAAAAGTGTTAGGCACTCATAATAAATGAACATAAATATGATACCAACAAAATGTGTGCATACCATAAGAATTCATCTCAAATTGAAAAATATTTTAAATTGTGAATTATATTTTACATTAAATACAAATATTTTGTTTTGTTTTTGATTAACTAGTTCTGTTTCACTTGTGTTAACTATTCTTAATGACATCTACATTTTCAATTTTTTAAATGTCGAATTATATATCCAGACAATCTTGAGACAGACAGGTCTGTCATAGGATTTTTTTAGGCTAGAGTCAACATATAGAACAACACATAATACATATTAGATATATTAAATCATCTTAAATCCCGCAAAGAATTTAATGGAAATTATATTGAAGATGTTAAATTATTATAATTTTATTATAAAAGCACAAACAGGAGACTCAAGCGCAATAAATTTTAACATTTTTGTGGTATAATTTATTCTGCTTTCATGGTGGCTCTTAGATGACCTTTGTTAGAATATGTATGTACATATATTATATTGAAATCATTCCAACGCTACTAAATTCAGGATATACCTTGAAGCGGGTTAGGCATTTTTTTAAAGTTAATTCTACTAAAAAATAAAATCAATGAGTATGACAGTTGATTGTTTATTAATGGAACAAGACATTATTTATTAACACAGTTGATACTTTTCCACTATTGCTCTTTTAAATGAATACAGTATGCAGTTACAAAACGGTGCTATCCTGACTGTAAAGACAATTATTTAAATTTTTGAGCAACTCTTTAAATGCGCGAAATTACTAATAGGGTGATCTATGAGTAAGTCTTTTTTTAAGAGTTTTAATATCTAGTTCTCATTATTTACTCAAAATGTTGAACTAATTTGAGCGTAGTTGAAATATTAATGTTTTATAATATCACAACAAAGCAAATAGAAAAGTTTTATAAAATGTGTTATTTATTTATTTTATATTACAGGGGGCAGACGAGCAGACGGGTCACCTGATGGAAAGTGACCATCGCTGCCCATGAACGTCTGCAACTCAGGAGTCACAAACGTGTTGCCGGCCTTTTCGGAAGGAGTATCGGTCCGGAAATACCGCAGACGAAAACTAAATACTTTTCAGTTTTATCTTTACTTTTAACATTAGAACTTATTACACTTAGGTTCTTTACTACTAATATTTTGTGTGATATTTAAACTTTTCTAAGGTATAATAATAATAGTAGCTTGACCCATCTCACACACGGCCGTCTGATCCTAGAGCAGTCTGTACTATGGTAAGCGGACTGCTAATAAATACACTTCAATATTATTTTGTACACATACATATTGAAGATAAATACACTGTGACATAGAACTAAAAACATCATGCTCATCACACAATTATTTGTCCTGGGTGGGAATCGAGCCCACGACCTTTGTTACAGCAGTCAGTATCACTAACAACTAGACCAGGGATTCCCAAAGTGATCGATATCGACCCCTTGAGGTCGAAATCAGTTTTCCAGGGGTCGACATAAACGAAAACTGATTACGGGGGTCAGTTTTGTATCAATAGGAGAGAAAAACTAGAAGTAGGATTTCAAAGTACTTTGGCTATGGGGGTCTGATGTATCAGTTCATTTTGGAAAAGGGCTCTCTTCTCCAAAATAGTTTTGGAATCCCTGATTTAGACCAACAGGCTTTTATCAATTATAGACTCTACCAGCTTCCAATACGATTTTAACTGTGATACTGTTCTCCTTTGTCTTCTATCGTGAGTACACAAAACTGTTTATAAAACCTACCTTCTTGGTAATATTAGAAAATAACACGGTTTTTAACACGTCTTTTCGTTGCTTAGCTTGCACTGCAACTGATCCCTTATTATTCCTGTTCCTGCTTAAATAGAATGCAAAGAAAGTTCATTTAAAATTCAAATTGTTGCTACCTAAAAACATATAAATCAGGGCAACGGACGAGACATTTTGTAACAGAGTTCATTGTTGTTCAATTGTTTAAGTTTGATTAAGTTTGTTTTAATCAATTCAAATTCATGTATAAGGATCTAGGTGATTGTGTTTCAATAATATGCATTGATTATGTTTAGTTTGTCTGTGGCTCAGCTCAAGACTTATTTTAATGTTGCCATTGTTTATTATTTTAAATTGTGTATCAGTTCTACTGTTACCTATTTAAGTTAATAAAAGTATTTTCTATTGAAAAAAATTTTGGCAATATACTATTTTTAACACCACTTTTTTTATAAACAATGGTGGTGGTGGCTTTAATAAACAATCAGAAGTTACCAAAGTCCTTCTCATCTTCAGGACTGGTGGCCAGAATCTATAACGTTTGTCAGATTTACAAGATCTCTTGATAATATGGTATGATATATCTGAGATAGAGATATTTTAATTAGCTCAACTTGGGGTGGGGTGTTATTTACAATACAAGAAACCTTGAGTAAAGTACAAACATTTTATTTGTCTAGTAAGAGGTAACTATAATTTATTTATGAACGTTTTATTTTATGAAGGATAGCGAAGTATTTTATTAGCTCTCTAAGAACACATTTGTAGTCAATCCGGATTCAACTTAGATAAAAGATTTATTGATAATATGATAATTTCGGTATTTATTAGCTTTTTGTAGGTAGGTACCTACATAATTTCAACCTCAATTCGAAGGATGGGACAAAAAAATATGATTTCCAAATTATTATTCGAAGTTTGTGCATACCAGTATAATATTACAGAAATTAAATTAATAAAATAAACCCGGACAAGTGCGAGTCGGACTCGCCCACCGAGGGTTCCGTACAAATTTGTGATTTAAGTACAAATGTATAGTTTTCAAATTTCTTCCTATACTTGTAGTATAAGACGATATTACTTGCCAAATTTCATAGTTCTAGGTCAACGGAAAATACCCTACAAATTTTGATTCCCTTGAGAACGAATATAATTTTTTGTGGCTATTAACTTAGAAGTTGGGTTTTTTCACAGCTTTAAGAGACTGTAGACCTGAGTATATCGTTTTAATTTCAACTCGATACCTCCACGCGTTTACGAGATAAAGGGTTTTTACAACAGACAGACGGACGGACGGACAGCAAAGTTTTTCTATGAGGGATCCGGGTTTTTTCTTTTGAGGTACGGAACCCTAATAAACGCCGGCGGGTCTATGGATCCCCGGTATGAACGAAATTCCTTTCGCTTTATGGTAGACGTTTGCTGTATATATGAAATATGAAAAAGATTTGAGCTTCGACGCGCCAACTAAAGAGTCGGAAAAGTCTTGTTACACATTTTTCGGTCTCGCTACCATCGTGTAACGCGCGATTAGGAACTTCGTTCCAAAAAACATCTTGGTAGGACAAGAGAAATGTTTGGAAATATGTTTAAACGACAGGCTAACACGTGTTCATATTAAATTAAATTATAAAAATGACATAAGTACTATTTTATTATTTTCATTCCTCGCGGAATTACCTACCTTCTAGGAATAAGATCTGCTTCAAGAACTATTTGCTTGGGAGAAAAGTTAAGCTCTTCCTACGTGCATTCGTGCTATTCTAGGACTTGAGGTTATGTTAATTTCGTTTTATGAATATGTTTTAAGTACTTCGCTCATACTTTTATATTATTAAAAATAGATTTCTGTTTATAAAAGTGATTTTCATGAGATAAAAGTGTAGTGGCATTCTTAAAATGATATGTATTATAAATATGTAGACGTAAATGACATGTGTATAATAATTGTGATTAATTGTATTTATGTTACGTTTAATAAATATATTTTTTCTCAAAATTAAATTAGATCTCTTACTTTACGTTATTTAAGCATTAATATCTTAATTATTAGAAAGGAGTACTTATAAACTGTCAAATAAAAACACGGTACAGTTAATTAAATACATTTATTTGAAAAAAACATCTTGTGTTTCTTGTAGTAATTAAATAAATGTTGACACATATTTAATAACGTTTTCGTTGGGGTCACATTTAGAATATATGGAGGTCGGCATTTCCTCGACTCTTATTGCGTTGCAGACGTCGCCGCGTGGCCGTCGGCGGAATTCATCGCCGCGGGTTATTTCCGACCGGGCGTGCTACCGATTCTACGTTTACTGAAGGTTAGTCAACAGACCTTTTAACTCTAAACCAAAGGTTACACGTAACGTAGTACTTATAGGTTTTTTTAATCATCAGTCCTGTTCCTTTGCGATGTATACTTATTATATTTCATATTAAAAATGAACGTTCATTATAACTTTCTTACAATGTGTGTTCTACTACAGTAAGAATTTCTTATTGTCTAGAATGAAAATCTGTCAGAATCGTCGATCGTGGATTAGTTACCTGTTCAAATATGTAGATCCCATTAAATCTTCCTATTTGAACTGTATTTCATAATACTGAGAATAGTCACAAAAGTTCTGAGACACCCTGGTAAAATTATAATAAAAATACGTAAAAACATTAACAGTATTTAGATACTTACAATTATCAGCTTGTCCACTACAAATGAATTGATGACGTTCATGCAATGCATTTTAGTCATTGAGCATTCGTCACAATGAACGGCAAGGTTACTGGATCCCTGATCAAAGTATTGATCATATAAATATACTGTCCATCGCGGATTAAAGTAAGTCCAAGTCATGAATGACTGCGGTGACGCTCTTCACAATGATAATGACACAAAGTCACGTCAAAGGACACGTCTTATCTTCACAGATTTGCCTAAATCATATTTATTGATGGCAATATAACCTTAAATCGGAACCACGTTGCGTGTAATATAACAGTAATTGAGACAGGTCTTATCCTTTGTTAATAATTAATATCGTAAACGGTTTTGAAAATGCCTTGGGAATACTGCAAGGTAGCTTTGTATGTACAGATATGCCCGTCAGTTAACCTGTCACTTACGTAAATTATTATTAGCATACCTTCTTACTATATGCTATAATAGATTTTATATTTGGATAGAAGCCGATAAGATAAAGGAATG